CATGTCAAATGCCTGGCTGTCAGCGCTAATTATTGAATGCGAAAATCTTTACAAAAGCATTATCAAGATATATGTTTATGAAATCAGCACATAAATTCGAATATTCGTTCAAAAATAATTCACAAATTAGCACAAATGTTGGGAGAATATCTCAATATTTCATGAAATAAATAGAAATAAATATGATAATATTTAGCAACGATTCGTGCTGAAGAGTATTAGCTCTTTCGACCATCGAGCTGGTTCCACTTTCGTCTTTATTTTGTTGTTCCTTTGCAGAGTTTTTTTTGTATGCCGCAAATTCAATTTCCGCGCATTGTGCGCAGGACACCGGTCTCCACCTGCCACCCACTCCTAGCCCCCCCACACACACAGACACGCACAGACAGCTACATGCGCTCCATGCGCAGTAGAGAGAATTTGCTCTCTCACGTTTTGCATTTGCTTCCTAGTGTTGGTTTCTTTTCTTTCTTTTTTTTTGGGTGAAAATTGCGCAATCTATGAAAATCAAAACAACGCCCAGCAAATACAGACACAAAACACACACACACACAGAAATGGAGAGAAAGCGACACAGAAAGAGAGCGAAAGAGAGAGAGCTTGGAGTTTTGGGAGTACCAGGAAGTGGATACCACTAGCTGGAGTGGAGACCAGTTTCCCCCATGCATCCACCTTGGCTACCGGCCGGCAGCTGTGGCAGCTCTCTCTCCCCAGTGCCATATGATTTGTTGTACGTGTATATAGCATTGTGTCAGAGTTCAATATCCTACACAGACACACCCACACTTACAGTGAGTGAGAGAGAAAGAGACACAGAGACACAGAGAGAGAGAGAGGGAGAGGGAGAGAGAGAGGGAGAGAGAGAGCTGCAGGTGGCATTAGATATGGTGGGTGGTGGATGGTGGATGGGTGGGTGGTGTATGGTGGGTGGTGTTGGTGCTGTGGTGGTTTGGTATGGTGGTCCTGCTGCGCTTTTTCCTTTTATCATATTTATTTTTATTTTGTTGGTCAGGTGACAAAAAGCGGTCCAACGACATAATCTCTATGTACAGCCACACACACACACACACACACACACATGGAAATTTCTTGAAGCATATATGTACATGGCAGATCGTATAATGAATAAAAATTCAGTTTATTACGTGCATGTATTAGAATTAATGTTTGCCGGAAGAGCAAGGCTCAAAGGATGAGGCAAGGGTTTTGCCATAGAGTTACGGCAGAGTGGAATATTTGTTAAGTGATCCAAAATACAATAATCCGCACATATGTATGTATGTAACGTACATCGAAAGTGAATTCTTGCCAAATAATCACGGGAACCCTGGTGCCAGTCGAAGGAGTTAAGGCGTTATTTTTTTCCAGCAATTTCGATCAATTCAAACAACATTATGGGCTTAGGTTGGGGACACACACACACACACATTTATTTCAGTCCGTTAGATGCATTAATTAACCAAAGGCAGGACATTTGTTCAATTATGAGCAGGCCAGAGCAAGAGCCAGAGCCAGAGCCATAGCCAGAGCCATAGCCATAGCCAGAGCTACAGCCATAGCCAGAGTGGTCGTTCGGTGTGTTGGTAACGTCTCATTTAACGGCAACCCTTATGGACACTGTATACCTGGCACAAGCCCCGCACATGTGGCACGCTAATGACCAAGGGTGCTCGTTGCTTGGAGTTGGAGTTGGAGGGGGGACGGATACCGAAACCCAAGACAACAGCCAGCGACAGAGCTGGGCATCGTATCGGCAAAAAAAAAAACTCTACCTGAGAGATGCTGAATCTAAATTCGAATCTGAATCGCAGTACGTGGCAGGGTGCATTGAACCCAGTGGCAGGCTAACGAGCAAGCATGCAACACAATGCCGATCATTTGTAGCGAATTTGCCTCACGCACAACGCAACACAACACAACACAATCGGGGTGCAAATTAATTTTGATGGCTATCAAAGCGTCAGAGGCGTCCCACAACCCCCTCAGCGTATGCAGCACCCAGCAGCCAGGTTTACACACATTAACAGAGCATTTACAGCAGATAAGGCAGGGGATTAAGGCAGCAAGCAGAAAGCATAAATGTATTCGCAATCAGCATCAATATAGTATGGCCGCTCATGTCTGGAAGGTCTTTCCACGCTCTGGCTGGAATTTAAAAGCAAAAATTTGTGGCTAAAAATATTCCAAGCCAATTCAAGGAAAGTGCACTTTGCTCATAGCTAAACCAACATAAATTCCCCCTTCAACTACACCACTGTGTGCCACGCTGTAAAATCAAGCAGCAGCATTGCTTGCGACGTGCGAAATTCTTAGACGGGTAAAACCTCTGCCAAACAGCCAGACTGCACAAAGCACTGCTGCAAAAAAATGTCAATAAGTCGCAAGTCCCATAAATCGAAGCCAACTGAAGCTTAAGATCTCCCTCCATAACTATTCCCAGCGGCAACGACAACAGCTGCAGCGTACCGATCCTCCAGCGGATCGTAATGGTGGTGGAAAGCTGATATGGTGGTTTCTCGCCCCGCGCGAAAGTGGAAAACGGGCACGGAAAAGTGTGTTGCATACCAACAAAAAAAAAAAAAGAAAAGAAGAAAAGGAGAAATGCAAATCGATTGGTTCTGGTTCTGTTTTGTGTGTTTCTGGGAAAGGGTTAGCTTTCCCTTTGTTACCCCCCCCAACCCCCCTGGAAAACGGGTTCGTCTGGTTTTGGGTTTTTGCTGCGGGGCCTGTCGCAAAGTTTTTAAAACATTTTGACACATGTCCGTCCGCACACGGGGGTGGGGGGCAAATGAGAGAAATGGAAAATTGTTTTCCAAAAACTAAGACATATGGCCATAATTTCACAATTAAAAGTATACGAAGGGGTTGAGAGTTCATTTCGTTCGATCGCTGGGAAAGTTTCAGCCTGGCCAGCCAAGTGGGACAGGCCACAGCCACGCCCTAGCTGCCATCCCCCCCCCCAACAACTTAAGCGCTTTCCCCCACTCGTTTTGCCACCCACTCAGAAAGCGCTTATCTCTGGCACGCAAAGAAGGGCACACAGCACAGCACTCAATGGAGCAGCAGCCGCAGCAGTAGCAGCAACATTAAATTAAACGAATTGGGTCAAAGGATAAACGGAATTATCTTCAAGAGAGACAGCCTATGATGTGGGAAGGAATGTAAGCGAAAAGAAATTCAAAGAAAATTCAAGCCACAAGAAGCAGAGTGGCAAAATAAACCGAGAGTCCTTAAAAAAAAATAAGGAACGAAGCAAACGGTTGCCACTCGAGGGGCATGCACATGACGCTCATCCAAGCCCCACAGCATCCCAAAAAAAAAACACCCAAAGCATCCACCACCACCAGCAGCAGCAGTCGTTCGCTCCCCTTCGCTGCTGCCTCAGGTCTCTGGCAGAGCCCCTTCTTCGCCCACCCGCGCTCTTGGTGTTGTCAAGCGAAGCGTAGAACTTTCATCATTTATAGCACGGAAGCTGTATGGGTCCAAAAGAGAGAGAGAAAGAGCTCTAAAGTGTATGTGTGTGTGTGCGAGAGATTCCGTATGTGTGTGAGGGGGCAAGTGTATGCGTGTGTGTGCATGCTTGATTAATATTCCTCGCCTGCAAGGTGCTCGCTCTCGCCATGCCTGTTCTCTCAGCTTCCCTGCTGATGCTGATGCTCTCTCTCTCTCTCACTATTTCTCTCTGCCTCCCCCCATTAATCCCATTCCCAATTGAGAGACAACCGGCGGCCGGCATCTCCCTCTCTTTCACTGTCATTGCATCTCTGGAATATCTCTCGCTCTCTCTCACTCAGAGTCCGTCCACATCTCTATGCCAGAGAAAATGGAAAGCCCAGAAAGCGGTTGGAGTTTCCGGAAAAGCCTTTTTTTGTCTAAGTTTTCCAATTGTTGTTTTCGCCCCGAAGCCATCCATTAATGGGAGCAGAGGCTGATCCAAAACTATCTCGCGATCATGCTAGTTTATACTATTTCATAAAATGTCTTCATAAAATGTTCTTGGGTTTCTATTGTATGGGATTGGTTCCACTAGCTATATGGATTACAGCCTCCACAGGGGAATTTGGAGGCCATTAAACGTGCATTTTACGGCTTCAGGGATCCTGCTCCTCCTCCTCTGTCTTCAATGGCTGTAGCTGAGCTACTGTGCCCTCAAGTGTCGCAAAATGAAGCACATTTGCATCATTCGCAAAGAGTCAAGCTCTCGTAACAGTCCTCCCCCCGCAACCTCCTACTTGTCCTCATCTTTCTCTAGCCAACTCTCCTGCTCTCACTATCACTCTCTCTCTGTCTCTCTGTCTTTTTCTCTGTGCTTTGCTCTCTCACACAGGCGCTCTCTCGTTCGTGTTGCGTTGCCCAAAAAGGGTGTGTACTGCCGGCCGGCCGGGTCCTGGCTGGGAGCGCAAAAGAGGTCCTGCCTGTATAGAAGGGCGGCGCAGTGCAGTGCAGTCCTGTCCTGGTGGTGGCTGCTCTCTCTCTCTCTCTTCCTTCCTCTCTCTCTTTGTCGTCCTGTCTCTGTTGCGCCACTGCTCTGTTGGGGGCGCTATGAAAAGGATGAAAGAGAAGGCGCCTGCCTCTGCCTGGCTGCCCCTGCCCCTGCCCGGCTGCCCTCTACCGTTTGAGGTTTGGCTCTGCTCCCGATGTGCTTGTGCTTGTGCTTGCCGGCCGTCCTTCGAGTCCTGGCTGTGGGTCTGCCATTGAGTCGGTTCAGTCGTACGTGTTCGTTCGTTGCTTTCGTTCGGTTTTGATTCCATTCGGTTGTGTTTCTCGTTCGAGAACATTCATTTATAATTTTTTGACTCCTCTGCACCGGTTTTTGTGTTGTATATGTATATGCTTCTATACATATACACTTATGTATATTCAGTTACGAATTAGTTGTGTCCTCGGTTTTTCATCCAACTAAAACTACAACAACAACTACAACCAAAAAACAACAACAAAAACACTGTCACAGTCACAACAACAACAACAAAAAACTAGGAACTAGAAACTAGAAACCAAACCAAGCAATATCTGTGCAATCCTTACTACCCCCCTGCCAACCGCCCCACGAATCGCGGAACTCTTGATTTTTGTTCTGTTCTACAATCGTCGTGCAATATTTAGAACCAACTCTAGTCAATAAATTCGTTTTGCTTCCCCTTGAAGGATACTTGTCCAAGAAAAAAGGATACCCCCAAAACGTTTTTTTTTGTTTCGTATTTTTTCGAGTGTGTGATCTGAAAGTGCGGTCTCGTCTGACTCTAAACTACGCGAAAAGTAGCAAGAAACGGTAATAAAAAATAATACACAAAAAAATATATATAGACACTATCTTTCAAACGTTGGACAAAGAAGCGTGCAAGGGAGACAGACATCGAGACAGACAGAGCGAAGCAGAGAGAGAGAGAGAGACAGAGTGAGAGAGTGCTAGACTTGGAAGAGAGCGAGAGAGCCAACGAGTCGACGCGAGACTTTGAGAAAGTTTTTTTTTTCGTGCAATCAATATATATTATAGTCAGAGTCCTTCCCCACACCCCCCCCACCAACCCAAAAAAACTATATCCGAGCAACTTTCAAGCAGCAGCTGTATGACAGTATTTCCAGCCCAACCGGCACCTCGGCACACCCACTATTTTCGTCTCGGCCCCAAAGCATGTAAGTACGACTAATAGCCGAATGATCTAATCAACATCCTCCAAAAGCCATTCTATATGTATATATATACATATATCCCCATGGTTATGGCTATAGTTATACTCGCAGTTGAGCAGCAGTTGTGGCTCTGCAATCGATAAAAGGAGGGGGCGGGGAAACATTGAATATTTCCATGACATTTATTATTTGTTTGCCATATATTGCCAGAGAGTTTCCCCGCAAGTCAGTAACTTCCAAGGTTTGAGTAATGCTACAGCAAAGCGAGGATCAGTTTTTGAATGATGATGGGAAGCCTCATCATTGGGGGGGAATGGGGAACTGGAATAAATCAAACCCTATGTAAAAACCCCATCCATTACATGGAAATGTATTTGCGTTTGCTTTGGTATCTCCGCTTATTGTTTACACTTGAGTTTTAACTTTAATAGGCTAACAAAAATGACTTATTAATATTCCCAAATGTTTTTGAGTTCTTGAGTTTCGTGATGCTAAATATCCATAATATAATGCAATGATTGATCATCATCTGTACATACAATATATATATTTTAGTGGTGCAAAATCATCTCATTGTAGGTGGATCTGGTGCTCCACAGATGCTGCTGATTCTAAGCTGCAATATTGCATTCAAGGTGAAGCTCAGCTCAGCTCACTTCAGCCCTGTTCCTGTTCCTGCTCCTGCTCCTGCTCCTGTCCTTGCTCCTGTCCTTGCTCCTGCTCCTGATGGTGACCCTCAGGACATACCCTGACCCACCTCAAGGCCCGCCTCTAAGGCTCTTCAGCACAGCCGACACACATTCCCGAATGAGGTCACACATATCGGCGTAAAAGTGTCAATTACACATTTTTTTCGCTCTTGGTTCTTCCTTTCACAAACACACACACACACACACACACACGCGCACTCAAGGGGGTCCTGGAGGGGACGCCTGTTTGTATTATGCCGTATCACGCCATGCTGTGCAATTAAACCATATCTTCCTCCCTCGTGTTCTTTGTCAGTCCCTCCACCTCCACCTCCACCTCCCCCTCTTCCACTCTTCCACACTCTTCTCTCTGGGCCTGTCTTTTACTTGCTCCGTTTGTGGGTGTGTGGATACCCCTTTATGCACTTTTTGTTTTGTTTGCACTGCACTTCCTTTTGTTTTGAGGCGCCTTTTGTGGCAAATATTTACCCGTTCATCCTTCCGTTTAGCCGCTCTGCCACAGTCTGCCAGTCTTTGCCTGCATCTTCACCTATTGCATGCTGCCTTTTGAGGTTTGTTTGACATTTACACCCCACCCTCCCCAGGCACCTTTCAAAGCCTTTCAAGTCCCTGGTCTGCCCTGGCCTGCCCCCTTTTTGCAGCAGTTCAATGAACGCGCGGGGCCGCCTGGCTTTTGAACAGCTGTTGGCAGCAGTTTAATAACCGCAGCCAATGCCTCAGGATATCCAAAAAAAAAAAGAGCAAACACTGAAGAGTGGGAAAGTGGAAAACACACACACACACACACATGCATAGCTAAATGTGAAAACTAGAAAAACCCAAAGCCACAGGCACAGATGCAGTCAGAGTTCAATGACCTCAACGACAGGGCAGGACATGGTCGTGGACTGGGACAGGACTTGCCTGCTCGTTTGTTTGTTTTTCACGTCAGGTTTTTACCCTATTTTCAGTGCAGTCTTTGCCAGTCACAAACACGCAGCCAGCCAGGATCTAACAGAAACTAGGAAGTCCCGGCTCTCCCTCTCTCTCTGTCTTTTTCAACCCCCAAAAACTATTCCAGTTGGAAACATTCTAGACACAGAATAGATGGTAAAATAGTCCTAGACTACGATGACAATACACTCGATGCATGATTGGGAATTATTCGCATATAGAACTTGCTAAGGTTTTTTTCAACAAAAGCAAAAGATTTAACTTACAAGCATCTACTTAAATTAAGTGAAAATTTCAACTTAAACTCCGAATACTCTTTGACAATTTCCCCCATTATATGCCTAAAATAAATTCAAAAATATCTTGCAGCTGTATCACATTTATTCTTGCCATTAAATTTTCTGTATTTCGGCGCAGTGGGAATACAACAAATGTTACGCGTATTAATGCCGAGTTGGCATCTTTAGATATCATATCAGCGTCGCTTTATAGTAGCTATGTATGTATGTGTGTGTGCACCTTTATGGGAATACATACATATGCACACACACACTCGCCCACACGTCGAAAAAGCGATTTAATTAAATTCCGAACCATTAGGCGAGCATTTTGTGCTGACAAAAAAAAAACAGAAGGACTCAACACAAAATCCCAAACTTCCCATATACTCGTACCATTGTTGTTTGATAAACAGATTTCAGCTTTGACTTACCCTTGTCGTCCTGCCATTATGCAAGAAGAGGGTGGGGGTGGGGGGCGCATATGATACTCCTAGGTAATGGTGGTGGTGGTCGTGGTGGTGGTGGTCTGTTTTTGACAGTGTCAGTGAGTGTCATTTTCAAAGGCCACTCTCTGTGTGACAAAAGGGAAGCGAAGTCGTGTGTGAAACGCGCTTATCAGGCAATTTTTTTTTTTCCGATCATCGCACAATCTTTTCTCCTTTGACGTACGTCTGCCACTGATTTGAGTCTATGGAGTACAAATTTTGGAGTTCTTTGAGAGCAAACATTTAATAATATTTCGTAGTGCACTCAAGGCTTTATTTTTGTCGTCTTTCTGTCAAAAGGTATTTTTCCTTTAACTCTATGCCACAGCTGGAGTGATTGATATAGATTGCTGAGCTGAAGATGCAGAAAAAATAAGAACCAACTTTTATCATATATATCTTCAAGTATTAAACCCCTAATCGACTCATCCCTACTATTACTATTCCATACTCAACTAAGCTAGACAAATACTTTAAATTTTTCATTGCAGATTGAGTAAAAGCAAGAGAGCAATCGAACAGCCATCATTTATCAGGGGCAAGAAGAACAACAAGATATTGAAGAAAATCCTTGGAAATGAGACATTTTTAAAACTGCAGAAAGCAGAAAGTATCTGGAAAATAAAAACAGAAACGAAACGGAGCAGAACCGAATCGAATCGAACAGAACCGAACAGATAACAGATCGAACCGTAAAGAGAGGAAAGCTAAAACCAAACACCACCAAACAAAAACCAACTACTATTAATTTAACAAAGCATTAACGAATAATCATATTCAAGCGGTACGAGTACTCGTATATACTCATATATTATACAAAAGGATAACGGAATAATACAACTAACTATATACTATATATATGATATATGTATGTATGTATGTATATTTGAAGCCCAATGCTAAGTTCCAACAACAACAACAACAACAAACACCAACCAGCGCAAATTTAGTAAAAGTATAATAAAACACCAACAACAAACTACAACAAATAATTGCTATCTTTTTGCATTTTTGCAATTTTATAAAAAAAAAATCAACAAAAAATCCAAAACTGAAAAGAGAGCCAAAAAAAGCAACAAAAACAACAACATAAAATTCTCAAGAACACTTCAACACTCGGCGAAAGCAAACCATTTAGCAAAATTTACTCTTTTATCTAAAAATAAAAAAATAAAACAAAAACCAAAACCAAAAAATATACAAACGATTATTTAATTCAAGACATAAATTCAATTTTAAACGTTTTCGACAGCGAACGATACAGAACTTAACTAAAATTAAAAAGAGAGAATACGTTTTTTTTCGCGATCGTAGTTGATCTAAAAACCCCACACAACCGAACTAACAACCACAGCAACAACCACTTCTGCGGCTAAACAACTTCACGGGACTTGTGCAAAGCGCAGTCGAAACTAAAATTAAATTAAACAAAAAAAAAAACATAAAAATAAAACCTAATTCGTAAGCGTTAACAAAACCAAGCAGTGAGATTAATTACTAAGCGAACAACAGCAACCATTTAACAAGGAAAAAACTCAACCAACAAAACAATACAAAAAAAAAATCGCGTTACCCCGAAATCGAAACCGGAACCAAAAGAACAAAAAAAAACCGAAAGCAAAATGACCAACGCCATGGATATTGTGAAGAACGGCAGCGCTAATGGCTCCGTGGATGGCAGCAATGATGAGTCGCGCACCAATTTGATCGTCAACTATCTGCCACAGACCATGACGCAAGAGGAGATGCGATCACTCTTCTCGAGCATCGGTGAGCTCGAGAGTTGCAAACTGGTGCGTGATAAAGTCTCAGGTAATTTGGGTAAATATTAAACCAATTATTCTACAATTAATCTCTAAGCTTTATCTCTATTTATGCTCGTTTTTTTTTAATTTGGATTTGGCCTTTTCCAATCCTTTTTTCGATAGTACTTCTAAAACTTATATGCAAGCCAATAAACTATTCGAGATTTTATTCCAAGCATGTTAGCAGCCACCAAAGTGAAAGTAAATGCTAATTTTTAAAAAAATTTTCTCCTCTTTCCCTCTAATAGTCTTGCCAGCATCGTTGACCGCCCTCAATCCGGCACTCCAGCAAGGTAAGCGCGCAAAAATAATTATTAAATAATAATAATAAATAATAATAATAATAATGAAATAATTATTATTTATTGAAAACTTGTAGGTCAAAGCCTGGGTTATGGCTTTGTCAACTATGTGCGGGCCGAGGATGCTGAGAAGGCTGTGAATACCCTGAATGGTTTGCGTTTGCAGAACAAAGTTATTAAAGTATCATACGCCCGTCCAAGTTCAGAATCTATAAAGGGTGCTAATTTATATGTATCGGGTCTTCCGAAGAATCTATCACAACCAGACTTGGAGGGGATGTTTGCATCGTTCGGCAAGATAATTACATCTCGTATACTCTGTGATAATATTTCCGGTAAGTCATTAATTGCACCTACATATGTACATATCTAGTTATTTTTATTTTTTGGAAATTATTAACTTATTTATATCCACTACAGGTCTATCGAAGGGCGTCGGTTTTATACGTTTCGATCAACGCAACGAAGCCGAACGGGCCATACAAGAGCTGAATGGCAAGACACCTAAGGGTTATGCCGAGCCGATTACCGTTAAGTTTGCCAACAATCCAAGCAACAGCGCCAAGGCCCAAATTGCCCCGCCCCTGACCGCCTACTTGACGCCTCAGGCGGCAGCAGCCACGCGACGTTTGGCCGGCGCTCTACCAAACGCTGGTCGCATCAGGTGTGTACTGTACTTCTATCCACGAGCAAAGTCCCAGTCGCAGTCCCAATAAATGTAGATCTGAGCCCGCATTTAGGATAGGCATATAGGAGAGTGTCATAGGCTGTCTGATTGTGTGTATTCCTTTGGTTGAGGTGGAGGTGCAGGTGAAACTGGCTGGGGGTAAAATTACTTATTCGAGTTTCAATAATTTCATTCACTTTCTGTTCAACAAGAAAACAAACAAAAAATAACAAAAAAACAAAAACGATTACCCAAATGAATTCTTCGTTTATTTTCGAGTTGAGTTGAATAAAAAAAAGCTTCGGTTATAAATTATATTTTTTCGATTCGATTATCCAACCTACCTTATGTGTCATTTCGGTTCTACTTTCTTTCTTTCTTTCTTTCCTACTTTGTCTATTTGGAAAACAAATTATTGTCATCATTTTTAGCATTGGAAAGTGTCCCATGTTAGCGGTTAACAGGGGCCTACGAAGGTGAATTATTTATTTATGATGTTCATTTCACATACGTAACTCTCTATAAATACGAGTATCAATTTATGCATTCTAATTTGGATTTTGTTACCTTATATTACCATATTCGTGTAAACAGTGTAACCGAATAAGATAGTTTTTGTGTTCTATATGTGTTTTAGCATCAATGTTCGTTTATGTGTATTTGTTGAACGTACTTTATGCGTATACAACCTTTATCTGGTTTATATATGTACAATTTGTTATACTCGTACGGGATAATTGTAGAGTTGCGGCCACTGAGGCGACTCACAACGTTCTCTCTCTCCTTTTTCTTTATACATTATCTATGCTTTCCTGGATTCGCTTTGCTTTCGTTTGCATGTCACAATATTCTTTGTATGTATGTCTCAAACTTTTGTCAACATTCAATCATCGACTGCATTGCGTCTCAGAGGCATAGGAGGAGTCCACTCCATTCCTATTCATTTGGAACGCATTGCGGCCTATGGTCCACTACACATAACCCTATTCCACAAACGTTTCCGTTTACGTTCCTGATTTTATTCCTGGTGCATCGAGACCAGCAACAATTACAGTGCAAGTGCTTAGAACTCAATTGGGCAGATGTTTAGACAATCAAAATTATGTATAACTTGGAGCACAGTGTAATGCTGTAATGGTGCTCTTGCATCGTGGAATTCGAATTCCCACTCTCGAAGCATGTACCTTAAAGAATTACTCTTCAATCAATCAAAAAAAAAAAAAAAAACTCACCCAACCAGCCCAACTAGCGCATTCTAGTTTTATTCGTGGAGGGTTTCCCGACTTAAACTAAGATTTTTGTACAAATCGATGCCATCGATGACAATAGTCACAAAAAGTTTACTAATCGAATATTTTATCTATCGTTTCCCCACAACAATCAAAAAATGATACGATCACACTCTAGGTACTCGCCATTGGCCGGTGATCTGTTGGCCAACTCGATATTGCCTGGCAACGCCATGACCGGATCCGGATGGTGCATATTCGTCTACAACCTGGCCCCGGAGACCGAGGAGAACGTGCTGTGGCAGCTGTTTGGGCCATTCGGGGCCGTTCAGTCGGTGAAGGTGATCAGGGACCTGCAGACCAGTAAGTGCAAGGGATTCGGCTTCGTCACAATGACCAACTACGACGAGGCTGTGGTGGCCATCCAGTCACTTAATGGCTACACCCTGGGCAACCGTGTGCTCCAGGTCAGCTTTAAGACTAACAAAACTAAAACTACTTAAGCGAAACTGAACTAGTGTCTAGGCCTAAGCGTAGCCCTCTCTCTCACTAACAAAATACTCTATGATTTGACACTAACCGAGACTTTCCGTACGATTGAAAGTTTGATTTGCCAACGTCGACAAGTTGTAGTCAAAATTACACATTTACTTATACAAAGATAAAGATAATGATAAAGTCAAAAGACAAAGATAAACATAAATCAAAATCATGATCATGATTGATGGGAAATAAGGTGAGGAAGAGGAGGATTCATCTATGATTTGATTTGTATGCTAAACGAAATTATTATGATTGTAATTCTAATGAAAACTTAGTGAAAATTGATTTGATTCTGTGTGTGGTGTGTGCATGCGATATGCATGCACCAATACTCGAAACTATATAATTTAATTTGATTAAACCAAAGCCTAAAACCCAACAAAAACAAAGCTTAAATGAGGCAACCAGAAACCAGAAACCCAACAGCAACTAAAAACGAGGAGGGTAATGTGTACGAAGCAGAATCTTTAGGAAAAACAAGACAAATGTCTATAAATTGACAAAAATTAATATGGGAGGCAATGAAGATTGGCAACATTGCATTGAGCAAATAAAGAAAACAAAACAAAACAAAACCAAAAAAAACCACAAAAAAAGAAAAGAAAACAACAAAAAAAAAACGAAAAAAATATATGAATCAAGAAAATGATGATCCAAGTCGCAATATATAGAAACTATTCTTTTTTTTACTTATCGATATGTAATTCAATTTGATTATATTCAATTAAACCGTATATTTAACGAGCTAAACAAATGATTTACTTAATGTCTACTGATTTAAGCGAAAACCCAAATAACTCACACACACACAAATATTTCTCTCAGCTTACCTAATTAATTATTATACTTATTATAATGGATATGCATAGATATATTATATTGTATTGTATTGTATTTTGCGTTCGTTTTGCCAGATTTATCTTACGATTAATTCTAGTTCCACACGATGTGATGTATTCACAACTTATTCGAATTATTTCGCATTGATTTTGGACTCGAACACGAAACGAAAACGAATGCCGCGTGAGATCTCTCCAAACGTAACAAGAAACCAATAATACACATAAAACACACACACACACACGAACCACGAACACATACACATTATTATATAGAAGATACATACATACATACATTCATATATCTAGCCAGATTTAAAGATCCTTTTTTCGTCGTCTAAGCGGAGGAGAAACAAAGTATATTCAATATTCGTATTCGTCAAGTGCAAATCAAAGTAAACGAAACCAAGAAAACCTATTATATTGTATTCATTATTATATATTATTATGCCTACTTATTATTCCATTTTTATAATTATTATAACTTATTGAATGCCACCAAAGCGAAACCAAAAACGAAACTAAACAAAACAAAACAAAAAAAAAACGAAACAAAACAAAACTAACACAAAATACAAAAAATAAAATTAAAAAAAGGCGAACTACCACAAAAAATATATATTTATTATTAAATAAATGTGTGACTTATTCCAAAAACTATGCAAAAAAATGAAAAAAGCGAAAAAAACCACAAAAAACCAAAACACAACCATTTGTTTTCTTTTTTTCCACCCAAAAAAAGTAAAAAAAAAAAACAACATCACACAAAATTGGCAACGCCGCAGGTGACTTGTGATCGGAGTGGAGTATCACTCTGAGAGGTTTTGGCAAACAGGCCAAGTGAAATGCGGTAACACACCCACATACAACCATAGAAACTACTACTACTACAACAACAACAACAACAACAAACAAAAACAACAACAACAACAGCACTCGCATTTAACAATGATACTCGAAATACGAACTAAGTTTCAACGATCTATAAAAGTATCATTAAGTTTTAACTGGTTTTATATCGTACGCATACATACATACAAACATAAATATATCCACCATCATAGGCAGTATACATACAGTATAAGTACACATACATAAATACAATATGTATATTCATTGTATATTTGAACAAAGAGGGCCACCTAGTTGACCTTGCGTAATTCGATTTTCCATTTCTATATCCTAGTTTTATTCCCCTCTCAGCCCTAATGATCATTCAGTAGTGTCTACTTACAATCAATGTGTGTGTCTGTAGCATTAGTAGAACAAAACAAAAAAAAACAAAAACTTAAACTAAAACAAAAACTAAAACAACTAAAAACGAAAAATCCAAATAACAAATCGTAAACGCAAAAAGATTTTTTTTTTAGTAAACACACTTTTTGGGTGTACTCGTCTCTTGTGCCCGGAATGCAAGGCCACATCTACATGGCAAGCGACCCTAAGGCTAAGAATACTGCAAAACCAATAAATTAGTATAAAAAAAAAAACACAAAATTAAAAATTAAAATAAAATAATACTTAGAGTATTTAAGAAATAGAGGGAAAAAAGAGATAACCAATAACCGCTCCAGCAGAGCAAAATGTTGTGGGAGCTGCGAGCGCAAATTGAAAACACCAAATTTTTAAATATAAACGATGTAAAATTTTTTAAACAAAGATTTATAGTAAAATTTATTGAAATATATATATACATGTGTATATGTGTATATATCATATACACAGAGGGGAAGTTAGCGAGAAGGAGTAAAAAAGATGGGAAAATAGTACGGAATACATGTCAGAGAAATACGCGCAAAATAAAAAATGTGAAATACATTAAAAAAATACCTTTAAAAAAAAAAGGAAACAAAACCGAACTGCTTCAACGACAAACAAACAAACAAGAAACGGGTAACGAAACCGAAACGAAAGAATGAGACATCACATGATCACCATAAATCGTATTCCCCTAAGGCCAAACAGAGAGATGTTTGCTTCTTCAAGCACTTAGATGCAAAGGGCTCAGATCGATCAACATTTGATACAGCTTGGCGGTCATTTGGCTTGCAACGACCCATCGAAGTTTATTCGTTTTCATCTCACCCGATGACTTGTTAACCTACTACTCAAATACAATACTCAGCAGTGTAAGCAACGTGGATAACTCAAGAGATAATCGAATAAGGCCCATTAAGTATACTCAAATACTTATTATTAAACGCCGCATCGCAGCAGCAGCCCCGATTAGGCTTCTGCGGGTGTGAGTGTATGTCATTCACAAAAGCAATATTAAAATGTGGCACGAGTCAGATACTGAAGTAGCTAGGACCCGGACTTGGACTTGTAACCCGACTTGACACGACTTAAACGTGAACATGAACGTGAACGGAGAACGGAGTTGTACAAATCGGAGCTCAGCGACTCGGGTCACATTCATTCACAGAGTTTGCACGCATAAGTGCTTTCTATACCATTTACTTAAACATTAATTAACTATCGAATATTAGTATCGTTTATTGGTTCCATTATGACACACACACACAAACATACATACACACACACACACATGAATACACGCAGTCGAATTTTTGGATGTTCTTCAATTTTAGTTTGAGTACAATTACAACAGAGCGAAAAAAGAAACGGCTAAAGGCATACCTAAAACCGAACCCAACAATGAAAATCATCAACTAAGCATGAAATGCATTTAAAAGTTAAATACAACAAATACATATTTATGAATCTATATGAAAATATATACATATACATACATATATATACATACCTATGTAAATGTCTACTTATATGGTCAGAGAAATACGCCCCAAGCAAGAGCAACGCAAAGTCAGAGAGTTTGAGAAGCTACAAAATTTCAAATTTCAAATCCGATACAGAAACAGAAACCGATGAGCAAAAAAAAAAAAAAAATACAATGAATACAATTACCAACGCCTCCTGAAGCTAAACAAAACATCAACTTCCAAACATTTTTATTGATATACACTAAAATCTAGTCACGTAAGGCGATTTCATCGATACAATCTAACAATCTAAGCTAATGGAGCAGATAGAGAAAGTATATTGTTCATTTTCATAGTGACAAAATTGCATGCAAATTAGCGAATATAAAAAGTTCAATTTAGTCGATAAGAAACGATCAAACTGCGAGGGAAAATAGAGATCAAATCAAGAGGAAGTGGACAAGCCAAAACAAGCACATACCCAAAAACAAACAAAATTCAAAACCAAATGCCAGCCAAAGGCAAAACTACACGGTATACTGCGGCCAAGCAGTTTAAGCAGTTTACTGCCTGGCCCACAAGCAGTGACAGCAGTTTACTCAAGCAGTAAAACTGCTTACAATGTAAAAAATATGAGAAAACTCAAATAGAAAACAGAATAGGAAAATGTTGAATAATTTGCATCAATTTGATCATAAAAGAAAATAAAAAACAGGAATAAAATTTTAAAAAAATATACGTAGCCGCCAGTCAACGGAACGCGCCCAAAGAATATAGATTTAACTTAAACTAATGAAAATTCAAACCGACAACAAAATATTTAAATCAATTTTGTGAAAAAGGAAAATTGGTAACCGTTATACACATATATAAGCAAACCCTATACATAGAAGATATACGATACGTATGTATGTATGCAGCAGAAACAGCTACAAAGCAAAAAAAAAACAATGGAAAAAAAAAAACCAAACAGAACTAAACTTCAAAACTTAATTATTTATTGTCTATTTTATTGTGTATGCTAATTATGATTGTCTATAGCGTATCGAACTATATGCATAAACCCCATATACATATACTTTTGTGCAGATCTGAGGCCAGCACATATTTATTATACTTATTCAATTAGTTAACCACATACCGCATATCCATGTACTTATCTTACTTTATGTACGTATATGCTTCATTAAAAACATTTCGATATTGTATTCGTAGCCATCGAGTAGGACTTGAGACTTATTTGTACAATCACCTCCTCCTCCTACACCATCAGCAAACATCAAACACCAATCACACATTGAAAACATCCCAACAAGAGCCTCAGCTAAAGTTCTCAATCATCGTATTTACATACATATGTATGTATGGTCTAGGGTCTATGGATAGTCGCATATTTCTGTATGTATATACCCATAGATAAAGCTAAATACACACACACACTTACACAATGTGAAGGATACCGAGGTGACACACAAATTTAGATGCATATATAATAATATAACTTAAATGGCAAAACAAAACCAAAAAAACCAAATCGAAATCGAAATCGTAAGAAGGAAGAACGTAAAATTTTACTATACTCGTACTCGTACGTATAAATTATATGAATGTATGTATAATTATTATTCAATTTGTATTTTATTGTATGTATTAGCTTTTGCTCTTTCATAAACAAAAAACCAAACAAAACAAAAAGGAACAAAAAAAATTCAAAGGAAAAAACCAAAAAGCCGGCAAGCAATGGTATACAAAATAAATAAAAATATGACAAAACGATAAAAAAAAAGAAATAAAATTGAACAAAAACAAAAAAAAAACAACAACAAAAAATTACCAACAGGAGATTTTTATTTATTCCTTCCAAAGGATTTCGCACCCTCTTCCCGTTAAAGAAATTTTGGGTGGATAATTAACTTTGTTTATTCACTACGTTAGAGTGCTTGAGTAAGTGGCTTTAAGGTGGATATATTTATAATAAATATCTGAAAACTACAGCGACATTAACATTGCATACATGTACATACATATACATATGTATGTATGTATTTATGTATGTATCTATCGTTTATAATATTATTATTAGAAAACACGAAAAAAAAAATTGTGTTCCATTAGGTACACTCGAGTACGTACGTACGTATGTATGTATGTATATTTTGTATTTTAGAGGCATCCATTAGCAAGTGCCTGAGTAGAATCTCACTGGATCGGTAGTACGCATCATATTGTATGATTTAAAATCGTTCTGGTTTTGAATGAGAAAACCTTTTGAGTCATATTTTTGGGTCGGGTGCTTCAGGGGGTCGGGTGCTTAATCATACACAAAATATGTCATCTGAAAATGCTGCTTAAATTCGGATATACTTCGGATATATACGTTGCATCTCAGATATACTAATTCAGGTTAAACTAAATGTGGGAGTTTCATTAAATTAAACAAATAAATGCCGTTTAACGATCTTTAAGATCAGATCTTCAGATACTCGAATACTGAAAGCTTAAGGAAAGCGACAGACAGATCGTTTCGCACCTCAAGAGAGAAACGAATCTCAGGCTCCTTCAAAATCTCTGCTCTGCGATTATCTGCGAGTTGCTCGGGTAGATTCGGACTCTTGGGATGCTGTTGCTGATGCGGTATACTTTAGACGCCCAGCTCACGACTGGGCGTGGTTGTGGCCAATTGTCCAGTATTACTCCCTGCCGGCGGTGCCGCCACCAGAGTGGGCACCCATTTGTTGAGGAGTGTGCGCATGGCGAATATGACATCGTGATTGGCGAAGCAAAACAGGAACGAGACAACGAAGCCCTGCAGGCTGACCAGAATGACGGAGAGCAGCTGATAGAATCGATCCAGCTGAGTGCCGGCATCTGGTCGATAGGGTAGCAGAAAGTGCTGCAGTCCGAAAAGCGGCACCAGAATGATGGTGGCCCGCACGGCTTTGCGGATGGCCAGGGGAGCGGGCTGGGCCGACTGTGGATGCAGTTTCCGTACAATCACCCGCAGAACATTGATGAGGAAGACTGCAAGATATTTGGATAGAATAAAACTATAAAAAATATAATAATGCTGCTACATACTAAAGCTGGCCAGCAGAGAGAGAGTTATGGGCACCGAGAAGATCCACAGAAAGAGGCTGTCATTGATCCAGCAGCTGCAAAGATAGATAAATACATATGTATGTATATAGATGGATGAGCATAAGAATTATATGAACGAAGGTTTGATTGGTTAGGTAAGGTGTAGGCAGGGCGCTGAGGTACTCACTGTTCATTGTCGGTGCTGCTGTAGTGCCGTGCTGCGCCATAGAGCAGCGCCACATTAAGCGGACAGAGCCAGCTGATGATTTTGAACCAGCGCATAACAATCGTGTCCTTGACAAAGACCTGGCGAAGACAGCACAAAGGGAAAGCAGTAAGAAGGCGGCTGCAGTTCTGACATTACCAGCCTGACGAAGACAGAGAGCAGTTTGCTAAAGTTGCGACTTGCTTTCACATAAATTGAGAGGGCGGTAGAAAAAGAAATGCAGATAAAAGCTGCTGCAGCAGCAGCAGCCGTACAGCAAATCACATTTGCCAGCCACATCCACCATCTGCTCATAAAGTATGCAAACCTGCCAGCAATTACGAGGATTTGCATGTGAATCATGTAAGCAAGAAGCAGGAAACGAGAAACGAGAAACAGGAACCAAGGATGATTGCTGGCAGGACTCACCACAACGAGAACCAAGTGCAGATGCAGACCCTCGCAGAACATCCAGAAATAGTTAACCAGCATGAAGTAATGTATGACGAGATGGAGACCAATGCACCAGAGCTGAAAATAAATATATTTTTGGCTGTGGTTGGGTTTCTTTTGTTTGTTTTTGTTTTGTCAAATGACTTACCGGGCTTTCGGCTATGAGCTCGGGTCGCTCCACCACCAGACGGTACCAGAGGATCCAGGACACACAAGTGCAGGCCAGCGAGGCGAACAGATGGACATGAATGCGAATGCGGGTGCAGCGCAGCGATCTGCAACGGACAGTCATCAGTTGTCAGTTGTCAGTCAGCTTCCGAGCTAAAGCACTTACTTGAAGCCCAGGAATATGATGATTGATATGAGTAGAGCCACCAGCGAGAGGGCGTAGCCCTTCACATACAGCTCGTTGATGAACTGACGAAACTGCAATGGCAATTACCCTGCATTAATCCTTCGCGCTGGCAACCAATCCACGGCGACAACTTACCTCCAAGTCCTCGTAGTCCACACAGTTGGTGTAATTCGACCAGGTAAGATTGCTAACCGGATGACGGAACCACGAGCCCGTCTCCAGGCAGCTATTTAAAACGAAATGTGCACCATAATGTTGGGATTACTTTGCATTTGACTAAGCAGGGATATGTTACAGCATAAATAATTCTTAATCTATGGCCCATTTATCGTTACATAATAAACAAAATCAATAATTCTTGAAACGAAATCATCAAAGTGGAAGTGCGCCTACGAATGGTCCCATTTTTGGGCATTTAACTCACGTCTTGTGGGCCAGAAATTTGCTGTTGAATCCCTCCACGAAATCGGGGCAATATTGACTCAATACGGTGCCGGCCGGGGTGCGGGGCCAGCATAGATATCCATCGAAGTTCAGGGGACAAAAGAGGCTGCTGCTATTGTTATTGTTGAGATTCGCCTGGTGCTGCTCCTCCAGATTCGTGGCCATTGTGGCGCTTAGAATGGTGGCATATATCTCGTTATTGGCTGCCGACGCCTCGTCCACACTCTGCATATCAATGCTGCCCTCGTTGAGCACAGCGTTCTCCAGATATCGCGGCACCGGACTGAAGTTCTCCGGCACCTCCACCCCATAGTCTGCGGCATGAAAGGCGTGATTGGTTGAGTGTTGATGCTGCTATGGGGAATCACGTACATGTATGTCTAACCTGTTGCCGGTACCGCCGGGTCCTCGTCGTATGTGTCGTTCTGGTAGCGATAGACGCACTCGGCATACAAATGCTTTAAAAATATGCGCAGATTCTCCTGGGGATGGGCCAGCTGCCCGGCCGATGCGGACGCTGCGGAGGCCTCCATCGTTGCCTCCATGGGGGACGCCTCAATGTGGGAAACTGTTGTCATATCTCAAAGCTGCTGGCTGTAGGAGACGGGAGAGTGGGAGACGGAAGAGACGCGTGTCAGCTGCTTCTGGCTGTCCATTCGTGTGTGCCTTGGTAATTTGGTTAAGCTTCAAAGAGTTGAGTTTGGTGGGAGCTCTGATGGCCCATAGACACAGCAACAGCCACTGATACTCGTACATTCGAGTAAGAATGAGAGTGTGAAATGTCATTGTGTGCCACGGGTTATCATGCTCTGGACCAGACCAGATGACCCCCAGCCAAGACCAGCGAAGCGTGACAGTTACAACCTTGAATGGAACTGTGATTACATTGCCTCGCACTCGCCCTCCCACTCAGTACCCACGTGGCACACCGCACCGCCCATATGTTATAAATCAGTTTATTGTCTAATTAATGCCAGCATTTGAAGGAGCTTAATTGCATTTAGTCACAAAGCAAAGGCCACAGGGCAAACTCGAATGAAATGCACTGCACATCGATCGAAAAAGTCGTAGCGCGGTAGGGAGGTGGTATGAAACTCCACGGGAATGCCACCAGAAAGCCATCGGAAGACAGGGAGATGCATATGTATGTACATTTGTGTGGCATACTCGTAGGATGAGCTACGCTGCAAAGTTCTAGCCTAACATGGTTATATTTTTAATCAAAACTCATTTCGCTTGATTGAGTTTTAACAGAAAGCCCTGCACCGGCAACGGCACCGGCACCGGCACCAGCGCCGACCCACCCACGCCCCCAGTGCCAGTGTTTCGGGGAGTGCACACCAAATGTGGATGAGCACAAGTCTCTGTTGTGGAGACTGGGGGCGCAAAAAAAAAACAACTTTAATTTGAGGGCCTAATTTATTGCACTTTGTTGGACAGTTTTCAGGCAGATTGCAGCAGGGTAAACCCAAGCACAGGTGAGTATCTGGGTCTCATAAAAATGTACTTAATAAGCTGATGTAAACATACATACATACATACATATGTAGCATAGCATATCATGGGTTTTGTTTGTTTGGCTAGTTCCCGAAGCATGAGTACCTTCTGGTCGGAATGTCCACCATGACATGCAGCTCATGCTGCAAGTGTCCCCAAACCACAAAATTCCAAGCAGTACAGCTTTAATGAGCTTACATTTCTGTTGTAGTCGTATGCCTTTCGCCATTTTCCGTGTCCTGTTTTAAATTGAATTCATTGAATTGGCGTAGGCCCCAGACCCTCCACCGCCACCCAGTCCAGAGAGCCTTTGCCAGGGCCAAGCGTGGACAAGCTTTGAATTAACTCCTTCATAATTGGTACTTATATTGCCATGGCTCACAATTCAGAGCTTATGCAAGAGACTGCAGTTCCAGTTAATTGCACCGGCAACGCAATGAACCACAGTGCATGCCAGAGCCAGAACCAGAGCCAGAACCACAGCCAGAACCACAGCCATGGCACTTTTAGTGCTCCTAAAGCAAGGTTTTATTTGCAGAATTTTTCAATTAGTTAGCTTTGTGTGGTCCCTTATATATTCGCTCTATTTTCCATATTCATCTCGCGATGTTATTCCACTTTAAAGTCAAGTCAAAACCACTTGTCCAAACAACACTACAAAAATACGCTATTTTGTGGCTTTCAAAGTTCAACTATTGCCGCATAAAATTATACACAATTTGCATGCAGCCCTTTCTCTCTTCCCCTATAATTTAAAAAGCATTTAAGCATAACGAAATCATAAATCAGTGTCTGCTACAAATTCAGTTGAATTTATGCTGAATGCGTATTTGTAGCTGATCAATTTTAAGCTTTATTTATGGATAAATTCTTTATCAATCATGAAGGAACTTTTCTCGATATTTCCATTAACGATTCTCATAGTTTCTTAAATCATTGGCCTGGAAAAAAATTCAGTTTGAAGCCTCCATAAAATATAATAATTGGAAAACGTTTGCCTGCATAAATTATGCATGAAATTGAAATTTATTGTCAACAACAGGCAGCAGCAGCAGCAGGCAAAGAAGCCCAAGCAGAAGGAGTAAAGACAAAGGCTCAGTCTCAGTGCCACAGTCTCAGTGCCACAGTCTCCCGCTGTAACTGATACAAATGGCCAATCGATGGCAGTGGTTGGGAATCGAGCCAAGGAATAATTATACGAGTATGTACACATGCTGAATATTGATGATGAATTGTTTTTTGTCTAGCGAGCGATACAAAACGATGGAAAAAACGTCAATGCGGTTAATTATGCTGCCACTCGTTCTCGTTCTCGTTGTTTGCCTCTGCCACTGCCACTGCCTCTCTGTGGCTTTGGCTTTTGCAGCCCGGAAACGGAAATGCCATCACGCACACAGACGCCTAATGGAGCTGCCTAACACATTGACTAATATTGTGTTATGTTTTTCTGGCAATTCGATTATTTTTTCAGGCAATTACAATAATAAATGACTTCAACCATGGCAATAGCATCCTAAATGCAATTATTTACGGTCGCTGGGCCCCCGGATCCGTTCGGATTTTACGCTGATTTGCTGTCATTGTCCGAGTTTAGCTGTACGAAAAAGTTGCTAACCTTGCAAATTATTGCAGTCATTTCCTGGCCATCACTGTATATGTTTTGTCTTTCCAGCTGCTCAAAGGAAAACTTTTCCTGTTATTATTGCAAATGGGCTGATGAGGGGATGGGGAGGGGAATGCCGGGCAGATTAACCAATTACTTATTTATTTATGTTTATGTAGTACGAGTATGATTTTTTTGATGGAAGTGTTTGCTCCTGAGAGTGAAACCAGAGTTCGTCTCCTGCTGCGAATTATGAGCTAGCGAATTTTTGAAATTTTCTCATGTCTATTCCCACACAATATTCATAATTTCAGTTCATTTTCACTTCATCACAATTAACAGATATAGCCAATATATGGGTGAAAATAGAAATGTTGAGAGATCACTTACATGACGGTTTCGTCTACGAAATTATCAGATCCATTTTGAGTTTTTCCAGCTGATCTGCGGAAACCAGCTGTGCCCGTTTCATTTAATCAAAAAAAAAAAGTTCCGTATTCCGTGTCTATCGCACGTAACGTACAAAGAAAAAGTACCACAAAAACCACTTTTAAATAAATAAAACGGATAAAAAACCCGCAAAATAAGTGAACCGTTATCTGTGGGCACAGATGCCGTCGCTCTCTTCTCAGATGCCGACCGTGCGGCAGGGCGTTCTAGTGGCAAGTGACCAAGCAAGCAAGCATCCAGCGAGAACCGACCCGACACGAATCGACATGAACCGATACGGCCCACCCGGGCACGGGCACAGGGCCCGACCCCGACATTTACCGGGAAGCAGCAAGTCACGACAAGGCACGGCACGGCACGGGCGTATCTGCTTGTGCCTACACTGCGAATGTTTAAGTACTCTTGGAAGTCTTAACTATCGGGTTAGCAAGAGGTTACAGCATCGTTTTGGCACTCCAAGCTCGCACATTTCATCTACTAGCCAATGCCAAAAAGAGTTTCAATGCTTGCCGCGACAGGAGCTTTGCTCGCGAAAGTTGGTTAGCATTCGAAGTAGAACAATTCGTCTTTTCTTCTTATGGGAATGCTCGTGAAACTTCTAAGAGAGTAAGATGGGGCTTATCTTTATCTTTGATTACTGTTTGATTGTCGCTTCCTGCTCGAAGGTTAACTAAGAGAAAGATTTTACATAGTTATGTTCATGGAAGCAGTCTCGTGGAATCCACGACGTGAATGCGCTGAATCAAGCGTTGAATTGCACTGCTTATTTTCTCTCTGTGTGGCTTCTGCTTGTCCATGCTCGCCTCTCCCGCTCTGCCGCTCAGCCGTTCTCTCATCGTTTCGTGCGCAAGGCCAAGCAGTGGGGTGCTTCGGCACCAAGCAACAAGTTGGCGTACGCCTGCTTGCCAGCAGCAGCAGCAGCAGCAGCAGCTTACTTTCTTGCTGTGACACCAAATTGCTTGGCAATATGTCTGTTGTGGGCGTCTAACAGTTGGATGTACGCCAAACAGGGCGTAGACAGTTGCGGTGCGCTGTGGAGCAATTGCTACTCGTGCAGGAGGGGACGGGCCAGCATTTACTTAAGACATTTAAACGGTAAGGTACAAGCAGGAGAATACGAGTGCTCGAATTTTCCTCCCTATGATGATTTGTCGTGTGGCTATAATACGATTTGCATTTCACATGAACTTTTCCATTTGTTGTATTCACTTTGAGAAAGAGCCACTTAAGTGCCACTTCGTATATTAATTTGCGCACAGTTCTTCTTAGCGAACGTTGCCTGTAGCCATTGAATATTCCATCCTTTATCCCATGTTTCCTCTTTGGGCATACATAAACACATACATATATACAAATGTATAAATTATAAATAGTTCTTTGTTACATTGCAACGAAAATATTGGCCAACCTTATATAAAATGCATTTCCAATTAGCAGCTGGACAAATTCCGTGGCATTTAGTTGCCGTAAATCCTTAGTCCAAAAATACATTGCATATGAAAACTGATATGCGAGTCCTTTAGGAGTAAATGGAAGCACACAAAAAAGACGGCTTTATTTTCTATTTTTATGCCAAAAGAAACTTTGCAAATACATCGAATTACTCGTAGTAGTTTCGAGTAGTTTCCTTTTGTACATAGTGCTGCCACATTGCTGTACATTTTATTGTTGTTGTTGATTATTATGCTTGTTGCCGAACAATATTCAAGACTCAGAGGTTGCCTTTTGTTTAGTGTACAAACAAACATCAAATACACATCATTAATTATTCAGTATAGAACTCTGACTATTACCCGGCTTAAGTAAATTCCGTGCTCTTTCGCATTTTATTCAAAAATGCATAAACTTTCGACTTTGTTTGGTCGTGGGATGCCGACTACCATGCTACGCTCTTATGCAAACGCCCTACCCCGACCCCACAAGGAAGAGAGGCCGCTGGCCAATTCGTTGCTGGAGAAACTCGATAAGATTGGCAGCCAGCTGGTCCAGGATATCGTAGACGGTGCACACCAGCAGGCTGACGGCATGACGACTGCCACAATTTTGGGCCGAACTCTTGTGAACGAGAGCAACAAATATATATCAAAGGGCGCTGATCCCAAAGAAATTCGTGTCGGCATTATGGCAGCCGTTGAGATGGTCATCAAGCAATTGAATGCCATGGCACGCCCCGTCTATATACCGGAACAGCTGCTGCGTGTGGCCATCACATCGGCACACGGTGATCGGGCCATCGGTGGTCTGATCTACCAGGCCATCAGCAAGGCTGGACTTGAGGGAGAGATCCACGTACAGAACACAAACAACACCTTCGACGTCGAGCTGCGTTTCTGTGAGGCAATTAAGTACACGGAACTGGCGTACCCGCAGGTGATTACTGCAAAGGACATTGTGGATGAGGCGCCGGGCCATTTGGTGTTGCAGCGCATGAATGCAGCGAATGCAGATATTGCCATGGCCTCTGGCAGCAATGAGCCGCAGCCTGAACCATCAGCCATGAGCATCTGCAATCTCGGCAAGGTGGAATGGGTGAGCATCCCGGCAGAGAACAGTCTGCTGCTGCTGGGCTATGGCGATGAAAACGAGATTCGTGGCACATCCTGCCCAACCCAGCAGAAGATTCTTCAGGAATCTCGCATGACTCTGCGCGACACTAGGGTCGCAGTCTTCTTGGTGGGCGGTTCAAGCGAGGGCGACAAAATTAGGAAGAAAGAACTCATTACTGACGCCGTCCGGACCACGCGCGTTGCCATCGAAGGTGGCCTCGTGCCCGGTGGCGGCACTGCCCTGATCCGCTGCATGGAACATTTGGATAGTCGCTTGACAGTCGAAAACAGAGATCAGGTAGGTGGTGACAATAACTGATGTATCACTGTATAACTCATGCGATTCCCAGCGACTCGGTGTGGATATCGTACGCCGAGCGCTGCCCATGCCATGCTGGACTATTGCAGAGAATGCGGGCTTCGATGGCGACAAGGTTGTATATGTTGTGGAGACGACCACGCGCATGCACGAGGATTTTGGCTACGATGTGGTGTCGGGAAAGTACTGCAGCATGTCCATGCAGGGCATCATGGATCCCACCCAGGTGGTGTGTACTGCCATCACGAATGCCGCCGGCATGGCCGCGCTCCTGATCACCGACCACGAGTATGCCTCGGACTCTGACTAACTGTTAGTGCTGTTTGTGCAACAGAAATTATATTTCCTATAATTTGAGTAAATGTTTGAGTTTCTGCTAAAAATATTTGACAGGTTTTGGTGGATACTCTGGGCATAATTCGAGTATTAAATTTATTATTAGAAGTCGAATATATCGAAACTGTAGCTGTTGTTATCAGCTTCGCATCGCGCCTGGGCTAGCCAATGAATTTAAATTCCCCTCGTGAATCCATATCAGAGCAGCAAAGTACACAGCAAGGAAAAGAAATCCCCAGTGCACATAATTCAAGTAGAGTTATAAGTGCTGATAAACTGATCGCCGCTACACGCTCCCATGGGGTCAGCAAATTCGGGGCGCCACCGGAGAGCGCTTAAAGTGCGAGTGCAAGAGTTTAAAAAAAAGCATGCGGAGCGATGGGAGTTTGTTTCTTTTTTTTGTGAGGTAACGGGGCACGTTTCGGGGCGATAACTATGGGATGGATGGAGCTGACCAGAACAGCGTTAAGCGTTAAGCATTAAGCAGAGGAAGGTGATGTAAAGAGCATAATCATTCGTCCGGGGCTGACAAGCCAGGCACGTAGCGCCGTCCAGAGCCCGGCCAAAGCCCCGGCAGCTATCGGCTGTTGGCTTTGGCTATGGGTTTGAGTTTCGGTTAACCCATAAAAGGCGTAAGCGCTGCTAGCATAGACATCAGTACACTCAAAAGGCCACAGCATGTTCCACTCCAAGCTGCTCCATCGGCTCCATCTGCTCCTCAGCGTGGCCAGTGTCCTGGCTCAGTATGATCTCTATGGAGACTTGTCGTACGGCGGCTCGGCGGAGTCGCAGCTGGATTACTTGTTCACGGACAGCGACTACGACGTCATTTGTCCGCCCGGCGGCAGCCCGGTGTGCGCCACGGACGGCAGCCAGTACCAGCGGTTCGGCAGCAAGTGCCGCCTGGACTCGCACAACCTCAAGCTGCTGTTCGCCGGCAGTCCGGGTGAGACCCGGCGAGGCTCTCGGCCAGGACCAGTGTCTTAAATCCATGCTCTCTCTCTCTCTCCCTCCCAGAACTGACGCAAACGGATCTCATCTACTGCTCCTCGTACTCGGCTCTGGCCCCGTCCCCCTATTATCTGCGCGCCCCAGCGCAGCCTTCGGGCTACCCTGCGGTCTCGGGCTCCAGCTCGTTCGCTTATGCCACGGCCCATGGGCCCTATGGCGCCAAGGCATCCGCTGAGGCTCCAGGTCCCTATGCCGTGGGATCCGCCTCCTATCCCTCGTATCCGAAAAGCGCTCCGGCGTACAGGCCTTACGGCGGAGCGTATCCCACAGTTACTGCGGCTCCGGCTAGTGTTTCCACAACGACCAAGGCAGCTCCTAGGTACCCTCCTAGGTATCCCCCCAGGTATCCGCCCAGGTATCCCACTGTTGCCACAACTTCAACGTCTGCCCCCACATCCACATCTGCACCCACGGCGGCACCTACTGCTACAACCACTGAGGCATCCACCGCTGCTCCAACAACAGCTGCACCCACTGAGGTAACAACAACCGCCGCTTCAACCTCTGCCTCCACGGATGCTTCTACGGCTGCATCCACTGAGGTAACAAGCACCGCAGCTTCAACCTCTGCCTCCACGGCTGCTTCTACGGCTGCTTCAACCTCTACCTCCACGGATGCCTCAACGGATGCTTCTACGGATGCTTCTACGGCTGCTTCCACAACCGCTGCTCCCTCCGTAAGTGATCCTCAACCCTGACATTTGACGTTTTCTCAACGGTTCTCCATCGATCCACCATTTCAGGGCGATCTGGTGATCACGGAGACAAGCGGCACGGTTACCACCACCACCACCGTGACGCCGGGCACGATCGAAACCTGTCCCGACACCTTTACCAGCTTCACCGTCCTCTTGAATGGAGTGACGAGCACCGTCAGTGGCTGCAAGACTGTCACAACAACCTGAGGAGTGGCGAATCCAGCGGGAAGTTGAGAAACCAGCAGCACCGTTGAGCGGTCATAGATTCAATATAATTCAAAATAGTTCAAATCGATCCGATCCGATCCACTGCAATGTGCAGAGTGTTCCATTTAATGTAATAAAACTGTCAGTACAGCCCCATAAACAACTGAACTCGATTGCATCTGGTCGAGCGGGAAAATGCGAAATTGAAAAAGGGAAAATCAATTGGGGGTATTCCATCAACGCACATTTTTCATTACACCCACACACACACACAAACACACACAGTCGTGTGGAGCATAGAGCAGGTGTTTCCGCTCTCCCTTCAATATTATTCTCGGGCTTTGGCTTAATATATATATTTTTTTTAAGCAGTTTACGCTTTTGTGTCTGCTTATCTCTTTACAATAAAACGGCATTAAAAGCTTAGGAAAAAAAAGGCGGGCCAGGCCCCTGTTCCGGGAAAACACGGATGGCGGCCTTTGTATCATAGAGCCGGTGGCTCGGCGGTTCGGCGGTGGCTTGCCCGTTCCAAGCGGAAACGGAAATTAACAAGTGCCCCTGGCAACACTTTGCATCTGCCAAACAGCAGTGACAACAAAAGCAGCAACACCCCCGCTAAAATAGCCATTTATATTCAAATTGTTTTAGCCTGGTCCCATTTTTGGCCCACAAAAACATCAGTTTTTTCTGGTATTTTTTTGTTTTTTGTTGGGCGCGAAGGTAGGGTGCTTCAAGTGTAAAAAGTTTAATGTGGAAATCTGTTTAATTAAATAATAAACATTTAATTTGAGGTGCAATTTTGGGTACATTTTGTTGCGGCAGCACCAAAACCCAAGGGCCTTTGGTAAATTATTTTTTGTTTTGTTTTCTTTCTGAGAAGAAGGAATGAGTTTCAGTGAATAAAGTAAAGGAATTGGTGCATGAATTTTGATTAAATTTAGGTGGAACTTTTTCCATGCTTTTCATGCTTTCCAGGCTTTGTTTCGTTGCCATGTTACCATGTGCTTAGAGCCTTTTCATTTTATGAACCTCCATGGACGATGGTAGCTATGCATCCACTTAAATTCTCAGATATCAGATCGTCACGAGTCTCATTTCGCACATGGCTTTGCTTCAGAAACTGGCCAAAGACTGGCCGAAAACAATTTTAGGGTAATCTACCTCTGGGCGAAATCCTTTTCTAATTGTTGAAGTATTTTTAAATCGCGAAAGAGGCTTTCTGACATTCCGGAAATGTACATTTGAATATGCGTTTTTCTGAACTGAACTGGAATCAAATGGAATCCCTTCAATCATTCCACCCCGTCTACCCCTGCCTACCAAAATGTCAGATCTTTGCATATTTAATGTTAAATAAATTAAGAAGTTTCATTGGATTTGATTTGCCGGCCTCAGCAATGTTTTTTTTTATTTGTTTGCATTTTTCTTTTTGCCCTTCCACCCAAAAGTTGCCCGAAATATGCTGGGAGGGGGCAAAAAGTTGCTGAATTCGCCAAAAGATTGGCCGAATGAATGAATTGAATGAACTCTTAATATTTTTTTGTAGCCGGTCTGGCGCGATTCTCTTGCACCTCCACACGTCAATGCGGGGTGTGTGGTGTGGCTGGTAGTGTTGTAAACAATGAATGGAGGGGCCAAGAAAACAATATCATTAATGTTGAGCAAGCCAATCGATGAGATACCTCTTAATTACATTCGAATTCCTCTGCCTGTTCTGTTCGAAAATTAAAATAAAAATATACACAAATAGAACTGAGCGCCAAAGATGATTTTTGGCTGTCGTCTTTGAAGTGTCTGACCAGTCCATCATACCCCTTTTGTGGTGCCACGAGCACCGTACACACCTTCTCGTAAACAGAATGCGAGACGCTGAAACTCAAAAGACAGCTGCATGCCGCATGGCGCCCCGCCTGCCGCTTTGCGACGGCTGCTGATAGCTGACACCAGATGGTAGATAGCCGTCACAGTCGGATGGCAGTGGTGCCTCAACTTTTTAAGCCAATTATTGACACGCTGTGGCAGCTCGAATAAATCAAAATCTGTGCTAAACCGTTGCAGGAGGAGATGGCGGAGGAGCGAAGCTTGAGCTGAGGCCAGGACCAGGACCAGGCCCTGACACAGGGCGCCTGTCTTGAGTTACGGTGTTTTTAATAAATTTCAAGTGGAACAAGATTTGTGGTGCCTTAGAACTGGGTAAATATTTTGCTTAGATGCCATGCTGGCCACGCCCACACGACATACATAAATCAAATGCCGCCCCACATACATACCACTCGAGTGATTTGATTCCTTTGATTTTGGCCCTCTTTTTTAAAGCACTTTTTGTTGTTCCCTATGGCTGTGGCTGTGGCTGTGGCTGTATGTGGCCCGAATTGATATTTATGACCGTGAAATCGGCTTATAACATTACCCATTCCTCTCGACTCCACTACCCAACCACCCACCCGCTTGTATTTATATTATTTTCTATATATGTATAAATTTATTCACGTACACGGCTGATCCATTGGGCTGTTTACAATTTATACCGCGAAATCGAATCCCATTCAACGGACAAGAACAATCGGTTGTGTTGTGTTATTTTTATTGGATTTAATCGTGCTCGCCTCGCCTTGATTATAACGTATACGGATGTACGTACGCGTACGTACTCGATTCGCACCTGAACCTGAACTTGGCCGAGAAATGTTCTCCGGCCAGCAAGATTCTGCGTCCGCTGGCGGAAGCCACAGCGGGCAATCCAATTAACCGGAGAGCAATCGAATAACGAATGATTTACAGCCTTTAATTTGATTGGGCGTTCGGTGTGGGTGTCAGTGTCGCTGATGGCAAATAAGAACACAAATTATGCAAAATTAATGGAAAAAAGTGAACGAGCTTCGTGTGCAACTCGCTGACAGCTTACAGCCCATATTCATCAATTTCAATTAGTGGGAAACATAATCACATGAAGCGCCCACTCCAGGATTCCCACCCCTAAAGATTCATTGCTCAACGAAAGGTAGAAGGATCAGCTGAACACTCTACACAGTCTTCGCTCTTTACTGCTGCCTGATGCAATGTCCAATGTTTACTGTACTATCTGCAAGCTTTCTTTTATTTCGATTCATTTAATGAATGCGGTTTAATCATTTACAGTCATCAAAACTGCACTTTATGAATCTTCTTCGTCAGTTTGGTTTCTACATATTTATTTTCTTAGTTCTCGTTTGTTTTTGTTTATTTTTCTTTGGCTATGATTTATGGATATATATTTTTGGAACACATACAGACATGTACATGACTCTATGAAATACATATACATATGTATGTATGTGCGTATGATTATTATTAAGGGGGAGTGCTAATAGTCATATTTATGTGATCCATCGATGATCAAAATCAACAATACCAAACAAGATAAGTAACAAACACTTGCTATTCGCTCTCAATTAATAATCAGCAGAATTTGTGGGCACTTCTGGGCCATCAATTTTGAGTGCTTTCAGTATGGGCATTACCATAAAGTATAGACCATAGAGCATAGGGAGCAGAGCGAGTCGCGGGTCCTGTAAATATGTTTGCAAAATTAATCAAACGCCGCGCTGACAGCTGAGGGAGCGTCGCTGCGAAAATAAATTAAAAATACATAAAGCGCTCAATTACGAAATTCTGTATATTTAATTCGTGCTGGCGACCAACAAAGGGCACTCGAAGAGCACAAAGGGCAACATCACCAGAAACAGCAATGGCAACACTGGCCAGTGCCACCAGAAGCAGTGACCGACCCCCCCGCAAAACAGAGTGGGGCGGCGGAAGAGCAGAGGGCGCACCGAAATGGAATCCAATTTCCATGTACATATTTTTTTTTGTTTTTTCTTGCCGTCTTCCTATTTTCTGTCCCTTTCCGCTGTTGCTGTGTTCTGCGGGGCGGACATAAAAATTTAATATGCGCCCAAAAGTCGGATACAATAAAATGCGCAGCTTCAATGTCAGCACGAACATGTTTTAGTGCGGACAAGTAACTTCAATTTGAATCATAAAGCATGATAACCCAGCCCTCCGATCCAGCCACCCAACAGCGCCCCTGTTGCGGCAGTGCTCCACCAAATTATGCTGTAAAAGTGGCGAAAAAACAAGCAAGCGATGTCACTTGAGACACCATTTTTGGGGCGGCCCCCCAAAACAGACAAACAGAGGCACAGACAGTCGCCTCATTAGTTCCGCGCACTTGGCGGTCAACGGACAGCGAACTGCCGACAGCAGCCAGCGGATAATGGAAAACTTTAAGAGCAGTGCCATGAAATGGCTAGATATACGAACATTTCTAAAGATATGCGGGCAAGGGTTTTGGGTAAGCAACATTCATGACTGGACATATGGGCGGACGCGCTTTAAGAAGCTGCTAAAACGGGGCATAGAACTTTTTCCAAAATTTAAGGGTTGCTCAGACTATAAATCAAGGCGCGCTGGATACTGTAGGAACTCTACCGCCATGAGAAGAGAATATCTGAGATTAGAGGCAAATTCAAGTCTGAATTTTTGGTAAACTCCGAGGGTAATTCCCAAGCATTCATGGAACGGAGCGTAAGACTGAGGTTACTGCTAATTTGGATATGTAAGAATGACTTAAATATTCTAAATATTTTTAAACTAAAGCTAAATGGCAACTAGTTTCCGCTTTGCTCGTTCGCTCTGAGGTTAAATTCTTAATGCCTACACCATTGCTGGTCGGGAAACACTCTTGATTGGTCTGTCCGTCATGGTGTTAACATCGATGTTGGGTGCAATTTTTGGGGGGGGACATGTCGACACTTGTAAGCCCTTTGATGAAGCGCCTGTCATCAATGTATTTGCGGTGGAACTGTCACATATCGGGCTGACTCCTTCTTATGTCGCTTGTCATGTGCGACTACAAATACATGCATATATGTACATATGTATGTATGTATCATATGTATCAGAGACAGATAGACAGCTAAATGCAAGAGCACTGTGAGGGTGGGACACTGCTGACTAATGAGCATCGTTGTCTTGCCAGCTGTCAGAGAGCTGCCGAAATGCCTGGGTAGCATGATGGAGGTCCCGGCTACTGCCAAATGCCGAAAAAGATGCCCCAAAAGAGAACAGTCGAAGTGTGCTTATAAATCAGCTGCCAATGGCATGTGCACAATTTATTGCCCGCTTTGAGGCGGAGCGGCAGCGGTAGCGGCAGCCGTTGCAGTTCTTGCTTATACAACTGTCAGTCATTGTCTGTGTCTAGAGTGTATGCCTGTATCTGGTCTGTACGGCCTGTTCCTATGCTTAAGCTCACTCCAGTGTAGGTCATACCACACACCAGCAAACACGTTGCCGGAGGCAGTTGCTAATTGAATCACAAACCGCAGTCTAAAATGAACAACAAACAGTACTACAGACAACGGCAGCAGCAGGAGTAAGCGCATGAGCAGCAGAGGAGAGGAGCCACAGCAGTGCCCACAAAGGCGGGCACGCCACAAAGGGAATGGCAGGCGCAGCAAATGGAAATGTGGAAATGGCAAACTCAGAGCATGCCACATGATGCGAGATGATGCGAATACGTAAGAAAGAAATGGCAAATGCTGCAAAGTAAACAGCAAGCGCTGCGGATACGCAAAAAGAAAAGAAAAAGATTAATGTAAAGATTTTAAGGATTTCGAGGCTTTGGGACATAAGAGCTGACCAGATTGATAAATCCTCTCCGGGCCGGGCATAAAAAAGCTAGGAACATATTTATGGGATGCCTGAATAAATCATATCCAATGCACCGACGAGTTATGTACATTGGAGCCCAAAAAGTAAATACAAATTTAATGTGTCTTTGCCGTACACACATCTGTGTGTGACAAGCCGCATTTGGCATTGGATCCACTCGATGCCGAATGGTGGATGAGCTTGGAGTGTTTGACAGAGAAGAGTCTCATCTCAGAACAAACAAAATTTACACAGAAAATTCTCAAATGCTCGTGGAAGCCTTACACACAAAAGACAGACAGCAAATAAGGAACAAAATTGATTCAATGACGTGTGCAATTCTATTTACTAAAGTCTGTTTACCTCAGTTCCGGGGGGCCATGTGCATGTTGCCGCGGCTGCCGCAAACTATTGCTTCCCGATTTACGATGACTCTCGAATTTGGCGCGCCAATTGTGGCAGCCGCAATGCCGAAGCGCACGCCAAAAACCACAACACTCAGAAATTGCAAACAAGAAAGTGATACGCAACCGTGCGGCCCAGCAACCGGTTTGGAAGTGAAGCTGCCAGAAGGAGCCAGAGGCTCCTTCCAAGCATTTGAGCGAGCAAGCAATAAACTGCTTTCCGTTATGTTTACTGATTTTACGCGCTGCTTTAAAACATTTGCCAAGCTTATGGACTGCTTGTGAACTCTGTTTATGCTTGTGTGGGAACTGCTTGCAGAAAGTGGTAGCTGAAAAAGTGTACTGCTTTATTCATAGCTTTCACTGCTCGTCACCTACCGCACTGCTAAAAGCAAACTTTGTGCTGCTTGGATGCTTTGCAATTTGTTGAGAAACTTTAATATTAAATATTTTAAATATGTATACACCTAAGCTATCAGTCTGACGAAACATTGGAAGTAATTAATGTTTACAACATAAAGAATGCTCAAAGACAAAAAAAAGAAACAATATATTTTAGTTTCCATTGATGGGCATTGTTATGATGTGAATATGCACAAACTTGAATCAGTTTTTCGGTCAGTTATTTATTGGAGCTTTGCACTGCTTAGTTTCCATTGTCCAAGAAAGCTTTTCAAAGCTGAACAACCAATGAAAGAGTACAAGCAGTCACTTGTTTGTACATGCTGCAAAGAGCAGTTCGTTTTCATAAAAAAAAATAATCATGAACTTTTTTTTGTGTACGCAAATTTCCTGTTCTGATCTGTGTTGAGACGCACCTGGTTGTATCTGAGCGACTGACAGGGAAACCGAGACTGGAGACTGGAGAACCGGCGAATCGGAGACGAGACTTAGGCTTGTGGCGCGGAGCGGCGCTTAGTTTACAATTGAAAGCGCAAGTTGGGCACGTATGCCGATAGCCGGCCGCCGTCTGTGGCTGTAAAGATTCTGGCCGAGTGGGAAAGAAGCTGGCTGTATAAATAGTTGGCGGAGTGTCGGCTAACCACATCAGTGACAAACAGAACATTCAGAATGATGTTTGCCATTGCCTGCTTTGCCTTGGTGCTGCCAGCACTGACCCTCTCACAGGGCTACTCGGAGGGGTATTTTCCGAGCAGACAATACCATCACGAGCCAACAGTCGACCAGCAGTACGACTACGGATCCTGCGGGGGCCGTGTTTGCGCCTCCAATGGGTATCGCTACGCCAACTTCGCCAATATCTGCCGCCTGAACGACTACAATTTGAGGCTTGTGTTTGCTGGCCATGCAGGTAAGTCCTTGAGTGCCAAGAACGACCAAGTGAGTGAACAACTATCCTTCCGCTTTCAGAATTTGTCGAAGTGGATCCGATATACTGCCATCAGCCCCCAAGAGATGTGGGATACTACTACAGACCGCAACCAGCACCCGAATCGCACCGACCAGGCTATTCGCCGCACGTGCCCTGCATTCCCATGACCCGGCCCCACATCGGACCCCAACACATCGCTCAGTCAGCAAGTGCTTTTGCTTTCAGTGGATATTCTTCGCCTGCTATTCCGTTCTGGTTTTACAAGCCTGCGATGTCTCCCACAAGGCCCCCAGCTGACAGCAAAATTTATTGGTATCAGGCGCCCCATACGAGCAAGCGACCTGTAACCTACTATTACCCAACAACATCCACCGAATCTTCAACGACGAGTACCACCAACGACCCTTCAACAACAACCACCGAATCTTCAACGACGAGTACCACCAATGACCCTTCAACAACAACAAGCAGCGAATCTTCTACGACGAGTACCACCAATGACCCTTCAACAACAACCACCGAATCTTCAACGACGAGTACCACCAACGACCCTTCAACAACCAGCGAATCTTCTACGACGAGTACCACCAATGACCCTTCAACAACAACAAACAGCGAATCTTCCATCAACGAGTACCACCAATGACCCTTCAACAACAACAGCAACCACCGAATTTTCAACGACGAGTACCACCAATGACCCTTCAACAACAACAAGCAGCGAATCTTCTACGACGAGTACCACCAATGACCCTTCAACAACAACCACCGAATCTTCAACGACGAGTACCACCAACGACCCTTCAACAACCAGCGAATCTTCTACGACGAGTACCACCAATGACCCTTCAACAACAACAAACAGCGAATCTTCCACGACGAGTACCACCAATGACCCTTCAACAACAACAGCAACCACCGAATTTTCAACGACGAGTACCACCAATGACCCTTCAACAACAACAACCAGCGAATCTTCTATGACAAGTACCACCAATGACCCTTCAACAACAACAAACAGCGAATCTTCTACGACGAGTACCACCAATGACCCTTCAACAACCAGCGAATCTTCTACGACGAGTACCACCAATGACCCTTCAACAACAGCAACCAGCGAATCTTCTACGACGAGTACCACCAATGACCCTTCAACAACAACAACCACCGAATCTTCAACGATGAGTACCACCAATGACCCTTCAACAACAGCAACCAGCGAATCTTCTACGACGACTAACACAAATGTTCGCTCTGCGGTTTTACGCACAGAACTCAACTCTGCTGTAAGTTGAGGAATACAATTAAACCCATAATATCCCACAATTTTAGTGAAATTTATTCAATAGGTGGATCCGGTTACCATACAGATCACAGGTCCGAACGGGAAATCCGTGCGCCTCGTCCTCTCCGACCTGGAAGCTGGAGGAAGCACATGCACTGATGCGTACACCCTGGACGTGACCAGGGGATCGACGGTGTTATTTCAGTTTACTGGTTGCGCGGATGCAAACACAGCCCCGTGGATCAAGCCGTCATACCTTTTCTACCATACATCCACCAGCGTTGTCCAAACCTGATGACGCTCATTCACAAATACTCCGAAAAATCTATTACTGAACAATAAATATAGACTACAATTGCAAGCAAATAATGATTATGCATTTGAGAATTCCCCCCTTTTGGCGTGTGTCACGTTTCCCCGCAACCCTGACACCTTGTGGGAAGGGTTAAACAAACAAACATACGACTACTACATGAAACTGAGTTAGTATCGTGTTAACGTGATATTTCGGCATTTGTAAAGCCAAGCACGTGAAGCATTTGCGCACTTCAGTTCACGAGCAGCCCCGCGATGCTTGTCCCGTACCTTTCCCAAACATCTGTTAAGTTCTGGCACTGCTTACTCATATACTCAGTTCACCACTGCTTATCGTTGCTCACCTCACCTCACCCACGCCATTTAACTGCTTGCATTGATGAATTTCAATTCACAGAAAATTTCACACCAGTTTTCACATGACTCAAGGCCATGTCGTAGCACTGATAGGCCAAGTGCAATTTCATAATGAAATGACCAAGAAGAACAGCAAACAAAGAGAGAGAGAGGGAGAGAGAGAAAGAAAGAGAGAATGAAAGCAAGAAGAGCCACTAGCCACTGTCTGGCCATTGATATGCATAATGTAGCGCAATAATAATTATAACTGCAAGTTTAGCTGTATAATAGCCCCCAAATAGAGCCAGCGACACGTAGACATTGCAATGGTATGAGAGCATTGATGACGCTCTGCCCGATCGCGCTTCGAGGGTGGTTTGGTGGCTGGTATAAAAGCTCAGCCTGGACGAGGTCACAGCATAGTCAACAGCAAATCGTTCGCAAAATGACAACAGCCTTGTGTTCCATCGGTCTGGCCTTGTGCCTGCTCGCCTCCATCGCCCGTGGATGGGACTACTCGATCCCCTACGACTACGCTGCACCTTACTACGCGGCCCCCTACTACGCGCCCCCCTACTACGCGGCTCCCAATTACTTTGCACCGCCGCGTTACGACATATCGTCCTGCCCACCCACCGGAGAGGAGAGTGCGGTCTGTGCCGTGGCCCCGGGCGCACAGCCAGCGACCTTCCCCAGCCCCTGCGAAGTGGATCACTTTAGCCGCCAGACGGGCGTAGGTAGGTGTTGCCCTGTATGCACTCCAGTTGCGAGCCCAGTTCTAACATGGATTTACCCCTGCAGCATGGCAGATCATCTACGAGGATAGGTGCGACAAGATGGAGGAGTGCCCGGAGGTCTGCAATGATGAATATAGTCCCGTCTGCGCGACATTCCAGTACTCCAGACGCACCTTCAGGAACTACTGCGAGCTGCTGCTGGTCACCTGCCGTACACATCATCGTAAGTACTCTGACTCTGGTTCCTGAGGCTGGGTGAAATGGGAGTTTTTAATCACAGTAATTTTCCACCCTACAGAGTGGAAACTTGTGCATGACCGCGTCTGTGACAGCAGATTGCCACCTTTGTACTCGCCACGCGCTCGAACCTACAATCCCTACGCCATGCACGCCATCCAGCACTCGCCCTCGTATGGATCCTACGGCTCCTATCGACCACAGCCATTGAGAAGGCCACAAACGTCGTTTGTATCCCCGCCACCGCCGTACAAGGCGGTAGCGTACGAACCCTACGAGATCTCTTGGGACAACCTGCCCACCGAGTATGAAATGAAGCAGACCTCCCCAGAGGCATATGTGACGACTACTCAAGCGCCAGAGACTACTACCCAGGAAGCGCAAACCACTGAGACGACGCAATCCACTGAAACAACCGGGGCTCCGGCTGCCTCAGGGAGATCTGCAAAAGTTTTGAGCGTTAATGCTGTGGCCATGGATAATGAAACTACTCCGGGACCCAGCTCGACGGTGGCGGTAACTAGTGAGGACACCACAGAAACATCGCGGGAAACCAGTTCTACAGCCGCCCCTACACAGTACCAGCCGTATCCATATTATAGTCCGACCTCTACAACAGAAGAGGCTTCCACCACAGTCAAGCCCCAAGCACGAGCTATAAATATCAATGCCATTGCAATAGAGGATGAAACTTCTACAGAGTCCAGCTCCACAGCCTCTTCACCGAGCTACGAGACATATCCATCCTTTCCAGTATACAACACGACTGCCCCGCCAGAACACGCTACAACAACTGCCAGACCTGCGGCACGATCCATACAGATAAATGCAGTTGCCGAAACCATAGACGATAAAACCACCCCCGAACCCAGCTCTACAGTCGATTCATCAACGGAAGCAAGCTCTACAGTGGCACCTTCAAGCTATGAGACGTATCCGTCATATTCAGCCTCACCATCCTATCCTTCCTATTCAGACTCCTCAGCATATCCCTCCTATAGCCCGACTGCTACTGAGACCACAGAGGAAGATTCTACTACTGTCAAGACCGTTCTAAAATCCCTCAGAATAAATGCAGTGGCTGAGACTGAAGAGGATGTTGAAAAGGAAGAAACAACACCAGATCCCACAACGGAAGAAACTTCTACAGTGGCACCTTCGAACTATAAGACTTATCCATCATACTCCGCCTCACCGTCCTATCCTTCCTATTCAGACTCCTCAGCATATCCCTCCTATAGCCCGACTGCTACTGAGACCACAGAGGAAGAGTCTACTACTGTCAAGACCGTTCTAAAATCCCTCAGAATAAATGCAGTGGCTGAGACTGAAGAGGATGTTGAAAAGGAAGAAACAACACCAGATCCCACAACGGAAGAAACTTCTACAGTGGCACCTTCGAACTATAAGACTTATCCATCATACTCCGCCTCACCGTCCTATCCTTCCTATTCAGACGCCTCAGCATATCCCTCCTATAGCCCTACTGCTACTGAGACCCCCGAGGAAGATCTACTACGGCGTCTCCCCATGGGTGACCCGAGGAAGATTCTACTACTGTCAAGACCGTTCTAAAATCCCTCAGCATAAATGCAGTGGCTGAGACTGAAGAGGATGTTGCAGAGGAGGAAACCACCGCCGATACAACAACGGAAGCAACTTCTACAGCTGCACCTTCCAGCTATGAGACTTATCCATCATACTCCGCCTCACCGTCCTATCCTTCCTACTCAGACTCCTCAGCATATCCCTCCTATAGCCCGACTGCTACTGAGACCCCAGAGGAAGAGTCTACTACTGTCAAGACCGTTCTAAGATCCCTCAAAATAAATGCAGTGGCTGAGACTGAAGAGGATGTTGCAGAGGAGGGAAACCACCGCCAAGCCGAGCTCTACAGTCGCAGAGGCGGAGGCCAGTACTGAGAAGAGCCGGTCCTACCCATCTTATACAACCCCTCCAGTCAATAGCTCTACCGATGCGCCGAAGATTACCTCTACATCGGATTCACTATCATCGTTTAGGGTGAACGCGGTGGCTGTAAGCGAGGACCAGGCACCTGTACAGGTGTATAATGCGACGGCATCGCAGGGGTCACTGTCATCCGGAAACGCTCCGAATAACACAATCGTGGACTATGTGTCTGGAAAAGATGGCGAGAACAAGCAGCACATTCGGGTGTACAACACTGGCAGCCAGGGTAATGTCATTATATTTAACATTAATAATAACTAATCGAGTATTTTGAATTTCATCAAAGAACTGAATTAGATAATCCGTTTTATAAGTCGATTAAATTGTTAAAAAAATATATATACATTGTTGTGTGCCAAAGTCTGTGTGGAAGATAAATTGCGGGTGGATCATTGCCTTGAAGAAAGCATAATTCCGCGTGAAGATACACGAGTCGTTTGTAAAACTGCGGGCTCACTATGAATTTATCACTGAGTCTCCTGCTATCTCTTGAGAAGGGTAAGAATTAAGGGTAAGACATATAGTAATTTTTCTCATTTATTTCTTTGGGTTCTGTTTTTCTGCTCGCTTATAAGTTAATTAGTATGAATTGTTCGGCTTTTTCGGAAGTATTTTCTTTAGTGATGTCTGTACTGTTGGAGAAAGGGTCTTCCTTCTCTTTCACTTGGCACCTCAAGGTAGTCACGCTCTATAATATCAAAATACGGGGAACGCCATTTGTCGGTGGGAGATGAGATCTGTTCGCGGAGATCCGAGGATATGTAGTTGACAAATCGAATGGCGTCAACAGCGCGCATTTCCAACAGCTGGTCAGCCACTTCCGATAGGATATTTTGTTGACGTACATGGTTGTAGTGTACGACGTAAGCCAGCTCGACTACCTTCTCGATCAACTGCTGTTCAGCCATAATGTTGCTTTTGTAGACGTGAAGCTCCCATTTGAGGTCCCTCAACAGTTTGGCCCGATGACTCAGATGGCTGCGCCTGCGCCATGTGAGGGGCCACACTTTCTGTGAGTCTATCACTTCATCGTTTGCTGCTTGAAGATCTTCTGCGTGATTGGTATCACAAAAAAACAAGTCCTCGATATGACACATATCCAAATGCACAGCTGCCAAGCACCGACAGTGGGTGCTGTCGGAGGCAGAAGCTATGGCTCTGGCTCCGCCAAGAAGAAGCATCAAAAGAAAAGCAAAGACGCCGGCCTGCTAAGGCCAAGACGAAATCAAATGGGTACCAACAGATATTTAAAGTGCGGAAGTACTCACCATTATGTTATGTTTGGGAATCCTCTGGTTGGGTAGGGAAATTATGCCTGGGATGTTCATGGATGATTACATTCCATGTGATGCTGGAATGATATTTAAGCAGTGTTGAGTAGCGCCTCAAAACATACTATGCCACTTCATTTGAATGCCAATTTTGCCTTAAAATGACTTTACAGCACGTGGGAACTGTTTATTTCATTTTTTTTTTTTTAATATGAAGTTTGCTGAGTTACCATTGAATTGCGTGGGTTGCAATGCATAAACTAGTTTAGTTTGTTGATCGAACTGACTAGTTTCCGCGTGTGCTTTGACCACGCTGTAAATATTCGTTGGCTTTTAAGAGTGTGCCCTGAAAGCCGAGTGAAATGCGAGTAAATTATGATTTTCAAAAATCTTTTTATATCTTAATTATTATTTTCGATCCATAAATATTGAGAATAAATATTATGAATAAATATTAAATATAAATGTTCGGATATAAATGTTCTTTATCCCTTAAAGTGGCTCTGCTCTATCCGCTGCAGATGAATCGCTGGTTGGGTCATAGCTGAGGCTATCGGAAGCCTCTGTGGTTGCTGCTGTGCTGCTGCTGCTGTGCTCCGAGCTTTCGGTGGTGATCCATGTGGAGGTGGTGCTGCTGGTCCACACGGTTGGGGAAGCCGTCGTCGTGGTAATGACTGGCATGGGCATGGGCGTCAACGTTTCTGCCTTCGGTGTTGTGGTGGTCGTTGTGGTGGTGGGATATGCATCGGTTACCCGGCCCACGCCGGGCACAAAGAGCGAGAGCGTCGAGTCGGTGATCTCGCCATAGTCGTAGCCCACATCGTCTATATTGTAGACACTGTAGGCGTCCATGGCACGCGACACGGATACCATCGGATTGCCGGAGTTAATCAGCTGACGGAATCGCAGTGGAGTCGCAGTACTGCTGGCGATCGGCATCGTTGGCATCGTTGGCATCGCTGGCATCGTTGTCGTCGTCGTACTCGTCGTGCTTTTCCTTGTCAATGGCTGGGCCAGCATCACATAAACCTTGGGACGATCTGTACCTGTTCCTGCTGCGGATACTGGCCGCTTTCCCTTGCTGCGGCGCAACTTCTTCTTGCGCCTGCCCTTGACTGGGGGCGGAGAGCAGGGTCCGGCATGCAGGATACGCATAGCTATGGATGGAAGATGGTTGAAAATTAAAATAAATTAATTAAATTAATTAACCTTTGCACCCACCTTGTTTGCTCTGGCACTCGTGCCGTCGCACCTCACACTCATTGGGGAATGTAATGGGTGCCTGAGCGCCGCTGCCTTCTCCTCCGATCTCGGCCAGGGCACAGACGGGCCGCTGGACCTTCGTGCACTTCATGGTCCGGCAAGTTGGCAGGCATCGCTCCAGCTCCGTGGGCTCCAGCTCTGTGCCGTACTGGAACAGCATCTTCATGTTGTGCGCCTCCAAGCGGCAGTCGTTCTCGAAGTAGAAGTGATCCGTGCCATTCGTGGCGCAGACGGGCACACCGCCCGACGCGCAGTGTGGCTGGTAGTCGACGTACTTGATCTGCAGGGGACCCATACCCCTCTCAACTCCATCTGCACCTGCAGCTGCAACCGCGCCTGCACTGGCACCCTTCTCCGCGGGGTCCTGGTCGTGGCCAATGCCATTATCCGCCAGTATCTTGGCATACTGGGCACTGGAGTAGTGGGGATCATTGAAACGCCAGTTCCCAAGCGAAAAGGACTTTCTCGCCGCAGCAGCCTCGACGTTTAGGGCCAGTAGCAGGGCGCCCAAGGCCATTATTCGCTGGACGACTTCTCGCTTCTGATGTGTCTGCATCTCGGATCGACTGTGCACTTTCCCCGAGGCGTCAATGGCTTTATAGCTGACGGGGCTATCGGCCACGTGCTGATTTCTGCTGCATTTTTCCGCTGTTGGCGCTCTTATCGCGGCTGAGCTGCATTTTTGCTGCCACTCGGCCACCGATAAGAGAGTGCTGTGCCACAGCTGTGGGTGGCACAAGCTCTCATTACCAGCCAGCACTTTCGTCTCCATAAAAATCCACTAATCTGTAGGTTGCTGATTCTTATACACATGTAACAGCTCGAGATTATATCATCAATCATCTTCATATCGTGCCAGTGAATCTTTCTTCACTTCAGAACATACTCGAACTTGTTTCTACGATTATTATTCGGTATACTGCTATTTTGGGGCCCTTCAAAACAAAGCTTTGGTTTTGAAAATATGCACAAGGACCTTAACAAACCTTTCGAAAGCTTTCAGAACTCTACAACCTTGAAATTATTTCGGATTCTGCCAGCTTTGTTGAGCTTTGAAAGCTGCATTGGCTAAAATTTAAAGCCCGATTAATAGCTTTGGTAAGCTGCTTTGTGGTGAAAAGCTTCCCGTTCCGAGTTTTTCAATAATTCTGGGACCTTAAAACTTTTAATAATTATGGATTCGATTGCTTTTTTGCAACATTTGGATAGTTTATAAATCCTGAAAAGTCAATAACATAAAAATGCATTAACTTTGTTAACCTATTTTCGATATTTTTTGGTACTTTTGTATGATGATGATAAAAGTCTTCCCAACATATATGTAAACCTATCTAAAAAAAATGCATAGAAAATTTTTCCAATCTCGGCTAATGTTAGATTTATAAGCTCTTGTTACCGCTGTAATTTGGTAACGTTACGATGACTCCGCGAATGTACATATGTATGTATAACAAAAAACCAGCTAAAGATTTTACATATAATAAGTTGGAAAATTATCTCTTAATACTTCATATATTAGCACAAGAAATTGTATTGGCAATTTTGTACCCCAACCTCAAAAACCTCTACTGTTTTATGTAACCCAAAGCCGTCTTACTACCATTTTTTTGTGTTGAACATAGGGCTACCTAATTACTATTCAACAAGGATAATTTTTCTTGCCAAATTTTGTATTTTTCATTAATTTTTTTTCGGTTTTCTGTCTCGCATGTCCCTGCCAATCAATCAGGATGATGCTGGTCTGAAAGCTTCATCATGTATTATTTTGCCCTGTGCAGGTCTAATAAGTTTCAATTACACAAAAACTAACACAGAGTTTTTGCTTTTGACAGGTGACATCACATTTATAATTGAGTTAGCTGCGGTTCAGTCTGCTGTTTGCCAGAGTTTGGCCAAGGGGCACATAAGCGCACAGCAGAGTGATATCTCCATCGCCCTTTTCCATAATCCACACTAAGCACATAAATAGATATAAGCATATAAATAGATTTAAGAATATAAACACAATCCATCCCATTTCGGCTCTTGAGTCTTGTGGGCAACAGTCCTAATGAACTTGGATGGGAAGCTTTTTGTTTAAACTTAAGATCTTATTGAGGTTGGCTAACCAACTTGGGCTGGCTTGCACTACTGACGGCTGGCTGCAATTGTTCCACGAATGGATGCACAATGTCCTACTAAATTATTTCGCTTATTTTTATTCTTGAGTGAATTTATTTTGCAGCAGCTTGAAACTCTTTTTGACAAGCAGAATTATTAGTTAATAATGCTTTTACCCCATGAAATGTATATGGGTAGTATTTATATAAGTTTGCAGCTGAGCTGTACTTGCTCAATAAATTCTAGATGCATCATAGGATGAGTTCTGTTCAAACGAGAATAATTATTTGGCAAGACGATTGTCGTTTATTGTCTGCCTTCTAGACGTGGTAAAAAACAATGCCTTAGCACACATACAACGAGCACACAATGCGAAGATTGATTTGCCCAAGGCATTGATCTAGTCCACGTCATCGATGGCTTCAGCTTTATCATCCAGGAGGAAGTGCAACGTAAGGTTTTGCCAAGCACTGTTTTGACTATTACGAATCCCCCCATTCGCTCTCTTTGTTCTCTGTATTTTGTAACAATACACAAATATTAAACATATTCTGAATTCCTAGAAAACGAATTTGAAAGCAATTAAATAGTTTATTGCAGGTGTATGTATGCATACATATGTTTGTATGTATGTAATGTATATTGTGTGTTGCCTGTCGCTTGCTGTGGTCTCCTTTGTCGTTAGCTGAAAACCACACATCATAATAATAATCATGTCCCTGCCTTAGAACAGACGGGAATTGGGCCCATTTCGGTTTGAACAACCCCAAAATGGAAGCTGGTAATCGATCATTATTTGGGTTGTCAACACCCCCCCTCCCCCCTCGACAAATCAACCAGCAGCCACAATTTCATAGTCCCTCATTTTGGGTGTAGACGCAATTAGTTTGAATTATTTAAATATTGATTTATTATTTGAAAATTTAATATCTAATTTAACAGGCGGTGAGATGGGCGAGATGGCAGGGAGCGACTCACAATACAAACGAATTTATTATTATCCTTGAGCACCTGAAATTGAAAAATAAATGCAAATGTATCTCTGATTTCCGTCTTGGCTGGTTTTATTTATTCCCTTTTATTGGAGCCTTCTTTGCTAACCCTTTTGGACATATTTAAAATGCTGTTCGTGCGGCCAGCACCCGGAGTTTACAAATCAAAGGAGGCCACAATTTGGACTCTAATGATGCTGATCAGCATGCAAATCGAATGGCTTCCAAAGGAGTCATTGGTAGAAAAAAAATCAAATATTACTTACTATCAGTTGAATATAATGCAACATAATTTGAGCAAATAGCATCATAATCAGATGACTTTATGTACATATGTATGTACTATAGATATGTATCTACTCTGAAAGATTTCATTTATTTCTTGTTTTTATTTTTTGTAGTGCTGATGTTGAAAGAAAGCACAATTATGCACCGATGTTAATGTATATATACATTTTATTTATATATAGGTATATTTTTCTGTACATATGTACATATATGTGTGTTTTGTAACATATCCACAACATCCACTCGATGTCCAGCCTTCTCATGGCCAGTCAGGGGGCGGCTTTACTTTAACACGCCCACATACACACACACATACACATACATACGCACAGTCATACATAGTGATGCTGTGGGAAAGAGGGAGAAGCGAAAGGCTACACATGTAGAGGATGACATATTCAAAGTTTATACAGCGCCCGTTTTGCACATTAATTTACTGACCTTTTTGCACTTTTTCCATAGTTTTGCAACCGCACCTCTGCTGCTGGATGGGCGTGCCCGTACCGCTCTCCTGCTCATCTCCTGTCCAGCGTCTGTCGGCTTCCGGTATTCCAACCCCCTGCTACGTCGACACAAGCAGTAGCAAGGACAGAGACCAACTTTGACCCGATGCTAAAGCTCAACACTGCCTCTGTGTCCATGTGGGCACAACAATATGCGGCTTGCCATGGCCAACGCGGAATTGTCCCAGACCCAGACCCAGCCATGACCAGCGGCTGGCTGGGAGCACGTTTGGTCTGCTGGGCTGGGTCTTTTCACATCCACATCCACAACCACTTTCACAATATAACGTATGATGAATGTGTGACATTTTTGCAGCTTGTTTGTTTGCTCATTGTTTGTTCTGTGTGCTTTACCCACTTTTCCTTTGAGCGCGGCTGCCTGCCCAAAGAGAAAGTAAAAATGAATGCGGAAAAACAAACATGATAGCGAAGGTATCGAATAAGGAGATGCTCTTCAAATGTTTAAAGATTTTTACTAGCGAGACAAAGAAAGAGTCTCTCTCTCTCTCTCATTCGTGGAAGAAAGGCTTTAATTAATGAAATGAAAAATGTTTGCTCGTTTCGTTCTCCGACTTAGTAGACAGGCTGTTGCTCTGGACTGTTAACAGCGCTGTTGCCCCGTTACCGCTGCTTGCCTGAACACTAACAAAGTTTTGGTTCTTCTAGGCGAGAGATTTTTGCACAGTGTACTCGGTGCTTATTCTTCTTCCGATTGCACTCTGTTCTTTTGACGTCCGTGTCCACGGAGAGGGGGCGCTATATTTTCTACCTTTTTCTGCATTGTTTCCCATTAAGGATGTCTCTGGGTTCATGGAGGGGAGCTACTTCATAAAAGATTTTTTGGATTCTTTTTCTTTTCACACTTTTTATTTAATTAATTTTTCACTTATTTGATTGCTGCTTGTACAGTTTTCCATTTCATTTGCTTTGTTCTGGCTTTGAGTCGCGGGGGTCACCATGGCACCTGCAAGATGATTCTCATCGCATATTAACCCATCGGCGTGGATAGGGTATCGAAAACTTTTGTTTGCTTGCTTGTCGCCCGTTTTTAGCTACCGTCATCTTGTCTGTCCTGCCATCGCTCTCGTATACATTTATGTACATATGTATTAATGTATGTATGTGTTTTGTGTGCGTGTGTGTGTGTGTGTGTGGAGAGTATATGTAAGCATATGCAGATTACTTTCAACGAACGTGTGCGCCGAAAGGAGAGTGTGGAAAGGGCCCAAAAACCCCGGCAGTGCCGGACTCTCTGCTCCTTCATTTTCAATAACGGCAAAGCAATAAACTTGCCCCGAAAATAGCCTTGCTTTTTGTTGACGTTCGAAAACTTTGCCACAACTGAAATTGTGCGGCGGAGATTCGCAGTTGAAAGGCAAACACACTGACAAAGGCAGCTGTGGCAGCACCCACAAAATATACAACACATACACTGATAGAAAAAGGCATAGTGAAAAAAACTACAATCATATTTGAATTTAAAATGCGATTTTTAAATACAAACATGGTAAAATTTAATAGAATTCACTTTGATTCAAATATAAATGTATTAAAAATGCTTGTTTAATACGGTCATATTTAATCTAAATACAAAACACTTCAAAATAACTATAATATATTAAATTTGTAGTTTAATATGTTTCATTTTTAAATTGAATATTATTAT